GTAGCTCCATTAATCGTTGTTTCCTGGCAGCAGAAGATGTGTAGCGTGAGCAATCGTTGTCCATATGTTGGCCATCGCAGAATATGCAACCACGACGGGAACGTTGTGGTCGTCCTTGGGTATCAGGGTGAGCTGCCAGTGCATCCGCTGTGCTAAAGAGTTGCTTTGGCTGCACTCCAACAGCGTCAGGTTTGTTCGGAGGGCCTTGGCCAGTCCGCTGGCGGAGTTGCTCTTGTACTTGGCCATATACTCTCGTAGAGTGGTTAGTTTCCAGGGCTGGCCGGCGTTGCTGATACCACGCCACTCCTCAAACTTGGTGGCAACCTCGAGTGGAACCTTGCCCCACAGCTTTTGGCACAGGAGACGTTGATCTGCCAACTTCTCTCCCTGTGTTTCCAGCTGTCGAAGGAGACACTCCACAGTTTCGAAACTTCGATGGATCTCCATGGGCCTGTTGGGTGGTGCCGGTAGTGCTTCCAAACGGCTGTACAGGGATGCAATGATGATCTCCGCTGAACCATACTTCGTCTTCAACAGATCCTTGACGGTGGTATAGTTTGCACTTGTCAATGAGATGCCCGCTATGGCCTTCGCCGCATCGCCGGAAAGGCAAGATTTCAGGTATGAGAACTTGCTGACATCCGCAATGGGCTGGTTGTCGATGGAAGACTGGAATCGCTCCCAAAACTCTGGCCACTCAATCACCTTGCCAGAAAAGGACGGTAGAGTCAGCTTTGGCAGCTGGACGTTGAGGCGTGATGGCTGTGGGGCAGTACTGAGGCCAGCTGCCGCGGTTGCAGCGTGGGCTGCCGCTAATGCCATGGCCTGTATCATGTCCGGGGAATTGGTTGGTGTCGGGACAGTTGGCTGGGCCTGTGTTGTATCCGTATGCTGAGCCTGAGCCACAGGGTTCTGAGTAGTAGCACTGATGTCCGTGCCTGTGGACATTGTGCTACGCCTTGCCTCCACACCCGTGCTAGGGCTGTCCAGTCTGCCTGCAGCAGATTCCGTGTCGCCCGTGCCTGTTGCCGGCAATTCCTTTGATTCCAGCAGTTCGCCCGTGGGCCTGTCCGTCCCATCACTGTCCACGACCACTACCTCCTGTGTTGTATCGTGCCGGGTGGCCTTCTGGGGTGTTGCTGCCTCTGCAGCAAGCTCCGTCACCACTGGTGAATGTGTCCCTACCCCTCTATAGTCGAGTAGTGCACGTGCGTCCGACACACTTGTGCATTCGTGGTCAAAGCCATCATCCCAGGCTTCCAAATCAATTAGTGCGTCTTCCACACGCTCGTCTGCCTCGCAGTTCTCCAGCAGGGTACCAATCTGTTCGGACAGGTCGTTCACTGTGTCAATCAAGGGTAGGATTTTCTCAACATCACTCTGAAGTGACAACAGACTAACGAATTTCTCCTCCGTTTTACGGAGTTCATGTTCGATCCTCCTCCTTACTCGCGTCACCCTTCCCTTGGCCCTGCCTCGCTTCTTGACTAGGTCGTTGTAAACCACTTGGTCCAGGACGTGAGATGTGCTTTGCTTCTCAGTCGTCTGATCCAAGGACTCCTCTCCATCGTTCGTTGTTGTCTGTTCAACCTCTCCGTCCATCGTAAAAAAACGAAAGTTGTTGGACGCGTTGGTTCCAAATCCTGGTCTCTACAGCACCATGTCGAGAACGGTAGGGGAAGACAGACTCATCAGACTCATTCTCATACCACAGTTTCCTTTCTAAAAACTTCACCTTCAACCATAATCAAAACTTGCCAACCACCCCCGTATGTGTGTGCGTGCGTGCGTGCATCATGCAAGCGCGGATCATGCGGAATGCAATGATGCAACTACAAGAAAACAAATCTCGGCAGCTAGCAACGAGTGCATTCAGAGAAGAAGCAAACAAGTTCAGATTTAAGTAGTTTGTGATGAGCAGCAGAGACAAACATGCAGGAGAGTATAATTATATGATGAGATGGAGGCGACATTGGGAATACTCGGATTCACAATGTACGCGTGCCATCAGCTGGGTAATCAGAGTCGTCGTTGGACATCGTAAGTAGTCTTCATGATGTGGTGACATTCATGACAGTCGCGGCAAAGGACATGGTGTCCGACTTCTGGCGTCTGGTGAAGCCAGGGATCATTTGTCCAGTCAGGTCGGCAGCCTAACCGTCGGTAAGCTTGTGTTTGGGTCCCGTTCTGCTCGATGTGGTAGATCACAAACAATTTGATATCGCACAAATTGATCTCAGCATCGTGCGTACGGTATTTTATATTCAGAAAATCCCAAAGTGTCTCTGTGTGGCCGTCCTATGCCACGAGAAACTCCAATCAGGCTCCTATGTCCTCTGCCTTCATGATTGAATGTCCACTTCGTTTGAACAACGAACACAACAATCGAGGACGGCTTTGCAATGAAAAATACAGCTATACCACTATACTGGAGCTGAAAAAAAGAAGAAAAAAAGTGCTCAAGATGAGACTCGAGTACACGCATACTCTCCCAGCAGGTGAAACGCAAATTTTTGTGAAAAATGCGTGTCGCCGACTGACCAGTAATTTCGCCTAGCGCCTGACGTGGTCATGGAGAGTTGCCTCATCCTGCCCATCCCACGGACAGGTGCAAAAGTGACTGGGTATCCTTTTGCACTGCAGCTACCGCCTAGACCCTGGCATTCCCAGTCACTCTGCTGGAAATCCCGCCTAGACCCTGGCATTCCCGGTCACTCTGCTGGAAATCCCGCCTAGACCCTGGCATTCCCAGTCACTCTGCTGGAAATCCCGCCTAGGCCCTGGCATTCCCAGTCACTCTGCTGGAAATCCCGCCTAGACCCTGGCATTCCCAGTCACTCTGCTGGAAATCCCGCCTAGACCCTGGCATTCCCGGTCACTCTGCTGGAAATCCCGCCTAGACCCTGGCATTCCCAGTCACTCTGCTGGAAATCCCGCCTAGACCCTGGCATTCCCGGTCACTCTGCTGGAAATCCCGTCTAGACCCTGGCATACCCGGTCACTCTGCTGGAAATCCCGCCTAGACCCTGGCATTCCCGGTCACTCTGCTGGAAATCCCGCCTAGACCCTGGCATTCCCGGTCACTCTGCTGGAAATCCCGCCTAGACCCTGGCATTCCCGGTCACTCTGCTGGAAATTCCGTCTAGACCCTGGCATTCCCGGTCACTCTGCTGGAAATCCCGCCTAGACCCTGGCATTCCCGGTCACTCTGCTGGAAATCCCGCCTAGACCCTGGCATTCCCGGTCACTCTGCTGGAAATCCCGCCTAGACCCTGGCATTCCCGGTCACTCTGCTGGAAATCCCGCCTAGACCCTGGCATTCCCGGTCACTCTGCTGGAAATCTCGCCTAGACCCTGGCATTCCCGGTCACTCTGCTGGAAATCCCGCCTAGACCCTGGCATTCCCGGTCACTCTGCTGGAAATCCCGCCTAGACCCTGGCATTCCCGGTCACTCTGCTGGAAATCCCGCCTAGACCCTGGCATTCCCGCGGTCACTCTGCTGGAAATCCTGCCTAGACCCTGGCATTCCCGGTCACTCTGCTGGAAATCCCGCCTAGACCCTGGCATTCCCGGTCAGTCTGCTGGAAATCCAGCTGTTACTACATATTTCAAATGTTGTCATTTTACTCACTTGTACTTGTACTGCCCAGCTATAATACCACCCGGCTAGCTGTACAGCAGAGAACTGCACGAGTACATACCAGACTCATTTCACTTCAGTGTATACTGATGATCAGGTGATTACTGCCTTACAGGCAAGTACCTCGTATGTAGAACACACGCTCCCTGCCGAACTGCTGACACTTGACTGACTCGCGACTGCCATCCGGAGCACAGGAGCATGTTGTACCTTCCGTTCGGCAAACCTGCAAGAAAGTACCACTCCCTGTGCAATACACAGTGTTTCGGGGAATTCAACCTTCATCAGTTGAGCTTGAGTAAGCTAAGGAAATGTTGAGCTCCAGGAGCACTACACTTTATAGTGCTCAACCAATCCAAACATCACTCAGGATACAAACGTACAGTGACGCTCCGTTTCCAGCGCGATTAACACCTCATGAGGCCCCAGGTAGCAACATGAGTGAGTCATAGTCGCTCATGGAGTGGTGCGAACCAGACGCTGAGAGCCAGAAGCTATTCACACTGCTGTCACCTCCAACAACTAGTCGCACGTTCACGTGAGAGACAATACAAAGTCGCTACTTCTAAGTTCGTATTGTTGTCCCTTGTGCAGCCGTGCAACTAGTTGCTGGAGGTGACTGCGTTGTGAATAGCTTCTTTCACACAACATTAGTGTCTGTTTCGCGCCACTCCATGTGCAACTATGACTCACTTAAGTTGCTACCTGGCCCGGGCCTCATGAGGTGTTTATCGTGCTGGAAACGGAGCGTCACTGTAAGCTTGTATCCTTAGTGATGTTTGGACTGATTGGGCACTATGCAATGTAGAGCTCCTGGGGCACAACATTTCATTAGCCTACTCCGGCAAGCTCAACTGATGAAGGTTGAATTCCCCAAAATACTGTGTATTGAGCAGGGAGTGGTGCTCTCTTGCAGGTTTGCCAAGTGGAAGGACTTAGGTGCGTCGGGCTCCTGGTGTGCTCTGGATGGCAGTCGTGAGTCAGTCAAGTCAGTTTGGCAGGAAACGTGTGTTCCACGTAGGAGCAACCAACTCACTTCATTCACTAATACACGTATACAGCTAGGCATATACAGCCCGAGAGAATGAATTGTTGAAGACTCCGCTGCAGCCGTACATATGAATCAACCCTAATACAGCCCGAGAGAATGAATTGTTGAAGACTCCACTGCAGCCGTACATATGAATCAACCCTAATACAGCCCCAGTCCAAGTAAGTCAGTAACTACTGTATGGTTTGTACGTTGTAAAATAAACTAAAATTTACTAAAATTTAGTCACTTGAAGGACACAGTTCATGTAGATTGGTACAGCACCCGAATACCATCAAACAGCACAGGCACGTGCAAGCAGAGCTTACTTCAGCAGCAGGTGTTAGCGAGTCCGCCGCAATCAAATCCGAGTAGAACGCAGCACGTCCTTTCTTCTGTCCAACATCAGCATCAGCATCAGTGCCACTATTGGCCTTTCCTCCCGCCATCCTTCTCGGCTGTGCACTACGTTCTCGAGTACCATCAGCACTCACTAACACTGGACGACGCCCTGTGGACGCTGATGCTCGCCGCAGCGGTGGTAACTGCGCCGAGCGGCCATTGAAAGCGCTGCCCGGCGTCTTTCTCGCTGTGCTGGGTGGTAACCGTCCTGGCGGCCTCGCTGCTGTTCCGTCCGAGTTTCCATCCATTTCGGCTGTGCCACGCGAAGTGGTGGCAAACCCTGCGAGCTCGGAAAGAACTACTCCTCCATTCAACTGGCAATTGTGGGCAAGAGAAGATTGAAAAGAAGCTTTGCCGCACGATACAATGTAGCAGAGGTATTAGCGAAAGAGTGGTTTGGCAACATTTGACTATGAACCAATTTCTTTCAAATTTGTTTCGAAGATCGATGTTGCCATCCCACCGAGCTCATCATTCACTCACATCATGGTTATTTAGCCTGAACACAGACCACCGATGCCAGTACTGTCAGCGTCTACACTGACATAGCCTGTCACCAGCCATCATGGTCATGTCGCTTGAACAGTTTTTGTACAAACCGATACTAATCCCGCCACTCGCCAGTACAAGCAGCAGCTAGCTGCCAGCGCTTGTCCTTTTTGATTTTGACTCGATCGAGTCTCCATCACTAGCACCAAGAGTACATGGTTTTCATGTACTCTTGCTAGCAGCACTGGCATCAGGCATTATCCATGTATTGCCTGGCACTACTCGTCGTAGATTCAGCGCGACAACACCACCCACCAGATCCCCATGGTAGCCTTGCTGTCAAGACGACAAGGGAGCAGGGCTAGGCCTAGGCCAGGGGGGCCGATGTCATGTACGATACTTTTATCTACGAACGCAAATCCCGCGATACTTCTGACTTCTGTGTACTATAAACAAGCTAGCTTGCATTGAAATGGCAGGTGAAATTTATCTTGCAGCATGTTTTGATGAAAGTGGTTGCCAATGTTGTCAACTTTCCTAGTTTGTTCTCTCGCCAGCATTGTGCTGACGGATTGTCTTTTTCAAAAGCTCACTTAGATTTAGCTCTCTATGGATCTGCTCCCCTGTCGGCACCGGCGTAATGGCAAGCCTGCCACAACGACTTTTCTTCAGCACCATTTTTGTCCTCGTGTCGGCTCTGGCTTCGAACTCTCGAAGTGCCCATCACTGGAAACTGGACAGCGATGGCACGATCGTGGAAGTACAGAACAAATCAGGGAGCTCTGACCCATTGTTTGTACTTCTAAACAGCCGTTGCGGCACAGAGGGCATGACAGAACTCTCACCTAGTACCCTGCCAATTCCTGCTGTGCAGTAAGTGCAGGAGTCTTGACGTAGTCACTAGACCCATTGTACTGTATTCATTCACATATACACACATGCATACGCCTGAGCGCGCCCCCCCCCCCCCCCACACACACCTGCACGCACCCACACACGCACACACAGTGACACGCACACACACACACACCTGCACACACTCACACACCGCCACGAATACACACGCACACACACATACGCACACATGTATATGCGTGCACTGACTAATGAGTAATGTGATGTGTGAACTCAATGGCATTCATATTCATGATAATGACTAGCAGCACCCCCGCCAGCGTTGCCTGGCCGAATGTGGCATGCGGGTGAAGCAAGTACATGAACAGCACACGTGCTCAGCACGTGGTGGTGGCCAGACCGCTGAAGTCCTGGTGAGGGAGGTTCTTCATCGTTGGAAGGAGAAGGAGGGACGTCTGTTACGCCTTCGGGAGGCTGGTCAGGGTTGTCCATCACCTGGTGGCGGATGAAGCGGCTCAAAAAATTCATAAACTTACGAACAAAAGTGCGATGCGCTCTTCACCGCAGATCAGATGCAGAGTGCAGTCAGTGCAGATCTTTTGTATCCTTTTGTTGCAGATGTTTCTATTTGCAGAGAACGGTTCACGTGGTCCGCAGCGCTTGTGCGGCTGCTAGTGCTACCTATGGCCTAGGCTAGGTGGCTACATGATTCGCACGCTTCGCGTGCTCAGTGCTTCTGCGCGCGGCTGCTACTGCTACTCGTACTGATCGTGTCTGCTATCAAGAGTACATAAACCAGAGTGTGCAACTGTGCATATCAGATCTGAAACAGCGCAGTTCGTGCACTACGTCACCCGGATGAGATCAGCCAAGCCGCGACTTGCGTAGAGCTCAAATTTTCATGTTTCATAGCCCGGAAATCAGCCAAGTTTGCTTGATTTTAGACGTCCTGTTTCAGGATTTCAGTGTTTTGTGTGACTGTGTACGCTGCGTACATCCAGTACCGACAAGTAAAGTCACCAGGCTATCCGTCTCAAAAAACCGAAATCAGGACAAACTCAGTGAACTGCACCACCGCGACTGGTTACGCAACTTTTCACCGTACCTGTGGCTTACCATGCCGTCAGAAATGACGTAGTGCACGAATTACGCTCCCACAGGAACCATCCCGAGTTGCACACTCTGGTTTATGTACTCTTGCTGCTATGTATAAGTATACCTTATAAGCGCTACCACCGTACCTACACTGTTCGCACGCTTCGCGTGCTCAGCACGTGGTGGTGGCTACACGATTCGAACGCTTCGCGTGCTCAGTGCTTCTGTGGCTGCTTCCGCTAGCTACACGATTCGCACGCTTCGCGTGCTCAGTGCTTCTGCGGCCGCTAGCTACACTGTGCTACACTGTTCGCACGCTTCGCGTGCTCAGGGCAGCGTGACACAAAAACACACGTCACAGGTGCCTCTTCTTTATAAGGAGCGTGACACACACACACACACACACACACACAGACACACGTCACAGGTGCCTCTCTTTTATAAGTAAAGATATGCTCGTCATATTACATGTATAACTAGACCTCACACGATCACATGACCACCTGGCTAGGTCACTGTGAACCTTATGGACAGTGACGTCACTGACGTGGACACTTTGCAGATTTTGATGTAGATGGTGTTGGTGCGTAGTGTCGCTGACTGACACACTTTTGCGCCCAAACTATTGCTGTGCATTCATCATAATACTATGTGTGTGTGTGTGTGTGGGTGTGCTGCACGTGTGTCTGTATGTGTGTGTGTGTGTGTGGGTGTGCTGCACGTGTGTCTGTATGTGTGTTTATGTTTCCTGGTACACTTTAGCTCCCCGTTGTCGTCGGACGACCGGGTGGATTTCAGTGATTCGCGTTGGCGAAGTGCTGGGGATGACGAGGGGGATGAGGATATCCGCATCACCGTCACGACTACTACCGCTGGCATCCTGGGTAGCAATGCGCTGAAGTCATCCTCGGCGTCAAAGCCCAGCTTACCTGCCAGCTCCAGGCAGGCTACTACTAGTGCCAGTGGCAATGGTGATGGTGATAGCAACCAGGACTCATCACTCTCCACATTTCTGCTGCATAACCAGGGACTGTCGGTGGTGGATAGCTCCGGTACGTACTTCCCTCGCAACGGCAAGCTTCTCTTGAATGGCCTCTCGACAACGGACAGTAATGCTGATGAGGCCGGTAGCCAGACTATGCCAGTTTACAGCCAACTGAACTTGTCCAACCCACTCACATGTGGCCCACCAGTATCATCCACACGCTATGACTCGTTGCAAGCTCTAAAGCATCGTGATGAATATCCTGTCCTGCAAGAGCTGGAAGTGGCGGTCATCTTCAAGAAGATGAACTCCAACATCATCAACTTAACCGCTGTGGAAATTGATTTGCAGGAGGCCCTCAGTGCGGTAAGGATCATGGGTGATTCAGTATCTCTGGATGTCACATAGTTCTGCATACAAGCATGCAATGCATTGCCTATGAAGAAACTCAGGGAAATGTACCTTTTGTGAAGAAACTCCGGGAAGATATGATAAATATTTAATGATAGCTTGCATAGACCTCGGTCCTACCGGTAGGACCATCATACACAGACATACTGCATGGCCTCTGTTCTAACATTGACCTAAAACTTGACCCTAAACTGTTGCTCAGGGGCTAATGAAGGAGTCCACAAATTTTAGACATGATCGCACAAGGCATACTACAAAATTCCATGGTAACAGCCCATGGTTACCATGGAAACGGTGTATGGAATTATGCATTCCACTGCCTTGGCAGACTAATAAAAACATTAGGACCTCACCACGATTGATGTGCCATGGTCAAAATTCACTTTGGACAGAGTTGCTAGCGCTCCGACAGGAGTATGTGCGGCCATTTTGACAATTGATAAAATTGCGCGTATGCAATGCACTGGACATAGCCTTGCATTTTGCACCATTACTTTGCCTGACAAAGACCTCATCTCAACAATTGTTTCAAGAAATTTCTCAACCAAAAGCACTTTTGCAGTGCGACTTCTTGGGTCCTACCTGTAGGACCCGTGGTCCTACCGGTAGGACGGCATGCAAGCTATCATTAACATGGGAATGTAGTGAATTCATGCTGTTTGTGCTAAGGCAGTGTTTGCATCAGAATGATACTCTGTTACTGTAAGTTGCCAGCTTTTCTGGATGGGCATTAACACGATTTAGCATTACATGTATGGTTTTGTTTTGCTAACAGGAGGCGAAGCCGTCACTGGCACTGCTCAATGAGCTTGGTAACTTCTGGCGCGTCCAAGGCAACACCCTGGAGGCGGTGGAGTGCTTTCGCGCCGCTCTGCACCAGCAACCGGACAATGCTGACGTTCTACTGAACCTTGCGCGCCTGCTACTCAACATGGGTTACGTTCAGGATGCTAGGGCTCTTGCTCACAAGTCACTGGCAGTGGCCTCGCCAGAGCACAACAGCTGGTTACAGCACTTTACATTGGCAGATGTAAGTACATGAGTTTACCTCTTTATTTAAGTATTATCTTGACACTCTGGTCTGTAGTAGGCAGTGAACAATTATTAGTCAGGTGTTGGTTTTGAATGGCTCGTCAAACTGGTGTTGGTTTTGAATGGCTCGTCAAACTGGTGTACATGTACTTGCTGCCGCAATACTGAATTATTCATGCCTGCAGAGTTTATTTGTCAGTCGATGACTGCCTAGCACTGTAAATTTGTGCGCGTGCGGGAAAGGGGTTTGCAACTAGGCCAAGTCATGGAGACATGGCGTATTTCCACAATGGCTGCTTGAAGTGTTGACCTGTCTCTCTCTCTCTCACTCACTCTCTCTCTCTCACTCTCCTTCCCTCCCTGATGGTGTACAGACATATGAGCGGAGTGGTTCCCAGGAGGATACCATTCGAGAGCTGTCACACACGCTGGACCTCAACCCTGGATTCAAGCCCGCTGAAATGCTTCTATCGCACCTGAAACTCAAGCATCATGTGAGTGGTGGGTTTGATGGCTACCTACTCTGCACTGTCTCTATCATCGTCTTGCTTTCTGGCCTTGTTCTAATGCTTCTGCGTTCTCTACTGGTGCAAAACCAGGCTACCGCAGCACAGCCAAAGCCACCCGACACGAATGGAGCATCTTCTGCAGCTGCCTTTTCTGCACTGTCTTCTTCCGAATGTTGTCACTGCGCTGCTGTCAGTGGCAATGGTAGCAGCAATGGCAGCAACACTAGCAGTGTGGATAAACCAGTGCTTCTTCAGCAACACAACCACACTTTGGAAAGGTGCAGGCCGCCCGATGTTGACAGTACTGATGCGGAAACTCAGTGTGTTGCTGCTGCTGCCGCCGCTGCCTCACACAGTGACAGCAGCGACTTAGACTCGCCTGATCAAAATATGTCTAGCTTGCGCCATCGCAAGGCTTTGTACAAATGGATTTCCGGCTAGAACATGCGCACAAACGTGCGCGAATACACACATACACGCACATACATACACACACACATCTTTTCTCTCTGCTCGTACTCGCCAATACACATGCAGTGTGCCTGTATTGGAGTTGTTAAAGTTCTGTTGAGACAACATGCAGTAGCACCCGCTGCATTGAGCTAAAGTTGAGGACAATCATGCTATAGGACTCTTCTATTTTACTGTTTCATTGTTTCCAGTCTGACCCGTTGAGTACTGGTGTTTCATCTTATTATACAATGGTCACTTCTTGGTGTTCAATTTATTATTGCCCAATCTGACCTGTTGGAGTTCCATCTTGTTGCCGAGTGGTCATGCTAACAATTTAATGTTTTACATCTTTTTTTAAAGCTTTTTCTTGACTTCATTTTGAGTTGAATATTTGGTAGCCTTGCATGCTACCTTAGCTTCTCAAAGCTCTTCACTCTGTTTTAATACAACTTCTGACGCTTTCAGTAAGTTTTTTTCCTAGCCGTGTTTGTGAATTCGAATCATAACAAGAATAGTACGTGTATGTCGAAGTGATATGCTATCGGCATACATGTACTACCATCGTCCACGTGTCACGTGTGGTAACTGTACCGGATGTGTAACATTATTCGGATGTGTGTGCGTGTGTGTGTGTGTGTGCACGCGCACGATTTTAATTGAGCTGAGGTTTACAAAATTACAATCCAGCAGTAGATGATGGCATCAAGCGGCAGTCTCATCCGTATCAGCTACTGTATAATACATAAAGCAATACTCGGGAGGCTCAGGCCTCTTCAATGTACCTTTTTGTACTACTGTTTTTACTACTGTTTTACCAGGTGAAATCTGGCCCAAGGTCCAGCTTGGCAAGGGCCAAGTGCAACCCTGCCAGCGCCCAGAACCAGCTCCCATTACATGTACATGTATGTGTGTATGGTATCTACTCGCCTAGGTATCCTTGTACCACTGCCGTGTCCGGCTATGCGGCCCCCAAAGGGGCAGACTCAGGTTTGCGCTGTCCATCAGGGCGCCCGACGGGAGTGTCTTGTCGCGTTACATTTGTGGCGACTCTCATCCTACCGTCGACGAAAACTACGGTGGCATGCCGGGCATTGGAACGGCTTTGTTACAGGTTGAGTCCTGATGTTGACGATATGCTCTTTCGGGCCAGACTCACCCCACGTTCTTCGGCGCCCAACAGTACTGTAATCCAACTGCTTGCAGTTAGCCTGCAGTTAGCCTGGGTAGTGGACTTCAAACTGATGGCATGCATGAAGCTACAATCATGCAATACTAAGTATCAGGATGCAACATGTGAAGTTCATCCACCTTCCATAGAGGGCTCAATTTGCCGAAGCCAACGAGCGGAACACACAGACAGAAGGACGAGCAGTTGCTGTTTCATGATCATCAGGATGTATACGGTATTGTTAACATGTACCAGACACTATTGATGATGGTGCTTGACAAGTGGTAACTTACAATTTCAGAGAGAAACTTAGGCAGTCTACCAGGTCTACTAGTCTAGTACTACAGTTCTTGGTGACTAGCTCTGCAGGTTGAGGTTGGCTCACACATACAGACATCATACATGTGCTGTGTCCAGTGGATGCGTGAAGGACGATAGCGACATCATCATACAGCACTTTCCTTTGTTCCTGACCGTCTCGTTCATGTACGCCCGCGCCTCGGTCAGCTGGTTGTTTTCTACTGGTGTAGTGGTATGGGGTATGATACCATATACGGTACGGGACAGTCTTGCATTGTGGAATACAGTATGCTTTAGTGTCCTTGAGAGCAGAGTACGGCATTTACTAGTACCATATACTATGGCCTTGATCAGTGCAGTGGTGTGTTGTTTGTTCAACACCACTGCACTGATCAATTCTACTACCAGTAACAACACTAGCCAGGTTCTGTATCAGTGCTGTGTGTTAGGTAGATCAATGATGCGTTACCATGTTGCACTGCTACATACAACCAAGGCGCGCGGCCTTTTAGCGATCAATTCGACAGTTCCAGTTGCGATAGCGCAGCCTGCAAATGGCCGTCAGTGGTAGCGAGCTCCTGCAGTCACGCACAACGCAAACGGCAACAAGCATCCACGAAAGCAAGACAAACTAAACACACCGTCATGTTCTCAATGTAAACATCCAAACCAGCTTTGTACTGTCCAGGTGTTGGCAGCACATTCATGGCAACGGCGTCACAACACTGCAAGCAGCATGCACACTGCACAGCCACGCATAACAACAACAACAACAACAACAACACAAACGACTAACATTTTTCATGGTTTTCAACTCCAGGTCTTTGCGGCGCAGCTGCTGCTCCAGGTCGTGTCTCTGTGATGCGAGCTGTACAGCAGGGACATAATCACAACATGTTTGATTTGTGGCGGTCAATTTCTTCTTCGGACTTTCCCGTTTGTGTCTTTCCCTCAAACCAGTGAATATGTTTGATTTATGTCATCCTTTGAGAATTTAAAAGTATTCAAGATGCTTGTGCGCATCAGCCAAAGCCACCCGGTTGCATTTTTACCCGTAATATAATCTTTGAACTTTCATCATCTGCCATAATTGTAGCGTGGTGTCTGACTTACCTTGTGATCAACTTCTGATGGTAGCATCAAGCATGAGTGAGGCGTTGGCTCATGTTGGCGGCTCTGAGACTCCTTGAAGATCTGCAAAAGGCGGGTAGTCAAACGTCACAATATCAACATGGGACGAGTAGAGGGTGCACGGTAAGGAATTAGAAGTTGGTCAACTGAGCATGGTGACCAGTCATCTCTTGCCTCTCCAGAACATGCCAGAAGGAGCAGAGCCTGTGGAAATACTGGTGCATGCATCGCCACCCCCCTCCCCACATACAATGTCTAGCCATGCTCGGTGAACTCTCAAGTCATGCCGGAATAAGACTCAGTGCGGCCCTGTTCCAATGTGTAGGTCAGTGTTGGCAGTGCTAGGGGTGCAGCACAGTGACTTGGTATTGTGATGCTACTAGTAACTCTCACGTGGTTGGATTTCATCAAGTGCATGGCTGTACTGCAAGAGTAGCCATTCGGGCAGCGGCAAGAGCTGAATCTCATGTGCATGGCAGTATGGCATGTACTACATCATTACATGTACCGGTGCATGCAAGTGCAGCCTTTACCTGTCTCGTTCTCAGCGAGGTGTTGAGTCGCATCTGCTGGTCAAGCTCGTCTTGAACGCGATGCACGCTCTCGCGGAGCATGTTGACCTCTTTCATCTTACCACTGATATCCCTCTGCATGTGCGGGCCAGACATGTAGACAGTCAGCAGAACAGTACAGTACAGTACAGTACAGTACAGTACAGTACAGTACAGTACAGTACAGTACAGAACAGTACAGTACAGTACAGTACAGTACAGTACAGTACAGTACAGTACAGTACAGAACAGTACAGTACAGTACAGTACAGTACAGTACAGTACAGTACAGTACAGTACAGTACAGTACAGTACAGTACAGTACAGTACAGTACAGTACAGAACAGTACAGTACAGTACAGTACAGTACAGTACAGTACAGTACAGTACAGTACAGTACAGTACAGTACAGTACAGTACAGAACAGTGTAGTACAGTACAGTACAGTACAGTACAGTACAGAACAGTGTAGTACAGTACAGTACAGTACAGTACAGTACAGAACAGTACAGTACAGTACAGTACAGTACAGTACAGTACAGTACAGTACAGTACAGTACAGTAGAGTGTACATGTAGTAGCACAATGCATGACAGTGCGGCATGTGAAGTACTTCAGTACCCACACTTGCCATATAGGACCGCGCCATATATAGCAACCATATAGTGTGCACGTGCAGCCATGTATAGCAGGGGCGTAGGAGGGGCTTTGGAAGTGGTACGACCAAAGGAAGGCCGTTTTGGAGTGGGGTCGGAGGGACCTCCCCCGGGAAAATTTTGTAAAAAAGACACAAAATCCTGCGTTCTGGGAACTTCTGGCACACTTCTGGCACAGTTTAAACGTTTATAAGTCATAGAATTATTTCACGGGCAGAAGAAACGTGCATGGACATGCACAGATATGCATGGCAGATGTACGAGTACGAGTCTAGAAAAAGGTCAAAGTGTGATGCGCATATGCATCGATGGATCCTGACTTTTTTATTACGGTTTTGCACGTTCCGGACGGACCACACTTTTCGAAAAGTGGTACGGCCGGCCATGGTCGTTCCAGTCGTAGCGGGTGCTACGCCCCTGTATAGTATATGTGTACATAGTACACATGGTGCATGTGTATCATACAACTGTTATCGGTCTACTGAGTTCGAATACAGAAAATGGGTCACACTCAAGGATCAACTGAAAGGTTCATGGGTGACCCCAAATATGAATGGCCACTGTATGCTACTATTCCTTGTTTGCCTGGGCTGTGACCTATTGTAGTATTGACCTGTTTAGCCTGCATACGGCTTTGTCATACACAATCTGCATAGTGCATTATATCATAGAAGTCCATTTGTGGTGCCAAATTGCTAACAAGCACTAAAGTCATGCCATGCTGTTATTTCTTCTGCAGGGCCAGGGGAAGAGGTGAACAGTTAGGTTTATGGCACAGGATGCATACGGTGCAAAGGGAATACTACTGTTGACAATGCACAGACATGTCCATCCATTAGGCCAGACTATCTATTTGCGAGATTGAAAGTCTCACACATTCAAACACTTACTTCCAGGCTTGAAATTTTGGCAGTCTTGGTCATGCCGTCCATTTCCAGCTTCCTGCATGCCAACACGATCATAACCATCATCAGCAGTGCAGTGGTTATTTTATACACATACTGGTATATGATCCTATACTAGTAGTCCCAATTCCTCATTTACATTGTACTTGTACACTGATACAGGAAGGAGTGCGCACCACTAAGCAGCCGAGACTGAGTAATTCTAGTTTCAGAGATTTTCCAGGGCTATGATGTACATAAAATACTGGACTTGAGAGAGAGATAAAGAGTTTGACCAATAACACCGGGCGGGAGACAAAACAGGATGAAGGGGTCATGTACCTGCAATGTACTAAATTGCAAATATATTCCGACATGGAATTAGGCCCGGGTATAGTCTGAGAAACGACACAACTGCTACAGTCACGTACATCAGTAAATGCTGCAGAGCAGAAACAACCATCTACCACTGTGTACTTAGCGTGGTTCTAGCAGAATTAGTACTGTGACAAGGTTTCAATAGAGGTACAGTGCACTAGGTATTGCAGGTCCAATGCACATGACTGGAAACTGGTACGAACCGTAGTTTGCCAAGGTCTTCTTCGTACGACTCCAACAACTTCTCCTTTCGCTTGACCTTCTCTCGAATGGCTGATATTCGAGTAGCAAGAGTTTCTTGTATCTATGCCAATACCCGATGTGCATGTGGACACACACATGCACACACACACACGTGCGCGCATATTGTTACATGCCATTATTTTATCTTACGGCACACACAGCCTGCCAGTCGTAACGGAAGTGACAATTGATGGTACGGTCCTGATCATACGAATGGTTCCTGAGACTTCAAAGCATGCATACCACTCAGGCGACAGCCACAAGGAGTCAAGACTAGACTGCGCTTACCTTGCTTCTATCGTTCATAACAGGTTGGCGTTGTGGCGGGGTCAGGCCCACAATGGAACGAGCACCTTGCAGAGGCTCTATATCCAGACTGTGTGTAATAGCTCTCACTAAGCCACAGTACTGCATGTCGGCACGGCAACAACAAGACAGAGCATGTCATTAGATACTGACTGGAATATGCTACATGTATTGGTATACATGTACATGACTGCGAGACAGTGGCACACTGCATTGGCAAAAACGATTACACTCTTCACCGAAAGTTATAATACACTAAGTGAGCTAGGCGTCGTCAGCAAGAGCACCCTAGCCAACATTACAAGGCAGCTCCGTGACGCTACAGGAGCGATGCTTTGGAGAAGCACGGCCGATGTAACTAATTGGTTCAAGAGCATAGAAGAGAAAAGCGTCAAACGTTTGTAGTATTTGACATTGTCAATTTCTACCCGTCGATCACGAAGGAGCTCTTGCAGGACGCCCTGGAATTCGCTAAGCAGCATGTGCAGGTCAGCGACGACGACATGAATGTGATTATGCATGCCCGCAAGTCACTGCTATTTGCCCAGGGTCAGGCATGGTCTAAGAAAGACCGAGGTGATATGTTCGACGTTACCATGGGTGCATACGACGGTGCGGAGGCTTGTGAAGTTGTTGGAGCCTACATCCTCCACAAGCTAGCTGTGCACCTGGACTGGACGTCGGTGGGGCTCTACCGTGACGATGGACTTGCAGTGCTGAAGGATGCAAGTGGACCCGTAGCGGACAGAGTGAGAAAACAAATAATCGAAGTATTCAAGTCGTGCGGCCTGAAGATAACGATAGAAAGCAACCTGCGCACGGTCAACTACCTGGATATAACCATGTGCCTGGAATCCGGTACGTACAAGCCATACCGTAAGCCAAACGACACTCCGCTTTACGTAAACGCAAAGTCCAACCACCCACCGCAGGTGTTGAAGAGCTTACCCGTTGGCATCAACAAGCGTCTGGAGATGATTTCCAGCTCAAAGGAAGTCTTTGAGGAAGCCGTGCCTGAGTACGCCGACGCGCTAGCTGCCAGTGGCCACCCCAGAGTGCTTGTGTACGACGATGTGAACACCCAGTCAAGTCGCAAGAGGAAACGCGGGCGAGACATCATCTGGTTCAATCCTCCGTATAGCGCCAATGTCAGGACAAACATCGGAGGCCAGTTTCTCGCACTAGTAAGCAAGCATTTCCCCAAGAACGCCAAACTGCGAAAGCTCTTCAACAGAAACACCTTGAAAGTCGGCTATAGCTGCATGCCTAATATGGAAACGCGGATCAAAGGCCACAACAAGAAAATGATACAACCAAAGCACGAGAGAGTCCCCTGCAACTGCCGAGTCGCCGCATCTTGTCCACTGAAAGGTGATTGCAAGTCGACCAATGTGGTGTATGAGGCCGACGTAACGTCGGACAGTGCCCTGAAGACATACACTGGAATGTCGGCACCGGATTTCAAGTCCAGGTATGGAAATCACATGACGTCGCTGCGCCACGAGCGATATGAAGCAAGTACGGAGCTGGCAAAGTACGTCTGGAGCCTAAAACGCCAGAACAAGGCCTATGAGATTGGCTGGTCCATCAAGGAACGTGCACGGGCTTACACCAATGTCACCAAGCGTTGCAACCTATGTATCGCAGAGAAATATCACATCAGCATATCCGATCGCAGCACCTCCCTCAACAAGCGAACGGAGCTCGTATCAAAGTGCAGGCACTCTGCCAAGTTCCTGCTTGGTGGGTACGGAGTCACGTGACTTGCAGCTACATGACTCGCGACAGCCATTTGCAAACGTCTGCAGCCCTTCTAATTATGGGTGTGGAATCTTGCATATAGCCTCGCTTGACGTCGCGTCATCGTGGTCATTTCTTTTCATGTTCCTCGCCTATTCTAAGCACCTATAGCCATCACAGCGCGTGGAAATTTCCATCTTGCACCTGTTTTGTTGGTGCATTGAAGAGCAAGTATCTCCCCTCCTCCAACTTATTTTAAGCGCTTACCAAAGTGTGTGGCATCTTGCACCTGCATGATTGTGATTACAGGCAAGCCACATTATCATTATCATCCTTTCACACAGCCTTGCTTGCCTTCCTGCCATATCACATTTCTTTTCTCACTCACGGACAATGTGAGTTTGGCACATTTTCCATCCAGGACTTTTTGCACCCACCAGACCTCAAACCTTCACAAATTCCTTCCTATGCTGCTGTATAAATACCATACTAGCTGTGCATCACCGTAATCAGTTGTCTGAGGATTGCTATATGGCATGAAACTTTAAGTTACGACAATCAAGACGCGTGGTTTTCCTGTGACTCGTGTAATACACCCTATATAATACGGTCATGTAATATTTGACCCTCTTCCTAATATTTGACCCTCTTCCTAATATTCGACCCTCTTCCTAATATTTGACCCTCTTCCTAATATTTGACCCTCTTCCTAATATTTGACCCTCTTCCTAATATTTGACCCTCTTCCTAATATTTGACCCTCTTCCTAATATTTGACCCTCTTCCTAATATTTGACCCTCTTCCTAATATTAGACCCTCTTCCTTAGAAGTATTCGGCACTTTCTGAATGTATACAGATACCACAGATATCTACACATCACGTTAGTTTCAACATGACACGACCAGCCTGATGTCCACATCCATGTGCTGAGCGTCACCTAGCTGATATATCCCTCGCTGTCAAAACTTACGACTTTCTCGCTCTCCTCTAGCGTGGCCAAGAGTTCATGCTGAGCGTGGCGCTCTGCCTCTAGTTGATTGCGAATTAGCTCATACTCACTGTTGTTGGAAGATGTCTGCAACGTACAGGGTTCAAGACAACAGCAGACCACAGGCTCAGTAGAATTAGGAAGGCAGGATATAACAACACAAACAAAATAGTCCCATGTGTGATCTTTCACTATTCCCGATCTTGAAAGGACTTGCTTGCAAGTAGAAAGTCGGTGCACTACGGTAGTGGCCAAAGGAGACTCCGCTTTGGTAACTTTAGTATTTATCTCTTGCTTTATTTCCAACAACAACCAACCGCAGAGCTCTGGAAAGCTCCATGAAAACATGAATACATGATACTATGATACGTACACACAGCAGCAAGGTTGCCACATGATACTATGATACGTACACACAGCAGCAAGGTCGCCACATGATACTATGATACGTACACACAGCAGCAAGGTTGCCACATGATACTATGATACGTACACACAGCAGCAAGGTTGCCACATGATACTATGATACGTACACACAGCAGCAAGGTCGCCACATGATACTATGATACGTACACACAGCAGCAAGGTTGCCACATGATACTATGATACGTACACACAGCAGCAAGGTCGCCACATGATACTATGATACGTACACACAGCAGCAAGGTCGCCACATGATACTATGATACGTACACACAGCAGCAAGGTTGCCACATGATACTATGATACGTACACACAGCAGCAAGGTTGCCACATGATACTATGATACGTACACACAGCAGCAAGGTTGCCACATGATACTATGATACGTACACACAGCAGCAAGGTTGCCACATGATACTATGATACGTACACACAGCAGCAAGGTTGCCACATGATACTATGATACGTACACACAGCAGCAAGGTCGCCACATGATACTATGATACGTACACACAGCAGCAAGGTTGCCACATGATACTATGATACGTACACACAGCAGTAAGGTTGCCACATGATACTATGATACGTACACACAGCAGCAAGGTCGCCACATGATACTATGATACGTACACACAGCAGCAAGGTCGCCACATGATACTATGATACGTACACACAGCAGCAAGGTCGCCACATGATACTATGATACGTACACACAGCAGCAAGGTCGCCACATGATACTATGATACGTACACACAGCAGCAAGGTTGCCACATGATACTATGATACGTACACACAGCAGCAAGGTCGCCACATGATACTATGATACGTACACACAGCAGCAAGGTTGCCACATGATACTATGATACGTACACACAGCAGCAAGGTCGCCACATGATACTATGATACGTACACACAGCAGCAAGGTTGCCACATGATACTATGATACGTACACACAGCAGCAAGGTCGCCACATGATACTATGATACGTACACACAGCAGCAAGGTTGCCACATGATACTATGATACGTACACACAGCAGCAAGGTCGCCACATGATACTATGATACGTACACACAGCAGCAAGGTCGCCACATGATACTATGATACGTACACACAGCAGCAAGGTTGCCACATGATACTATGATACGTACACACAGCAGCAAGGTTGCCACATGATACTATGATACGTACACACAGCAGCAAGGTTGCCACATGATACTATGATACGTACACACAGCAGCAAGGTTGCCACATGATACTATGATACGTACACACAGCAGCAAGGTTGCCACATGATACTATGATACGTACACACAGCAGCAAGGTTGCCACATGTACATGTAACGGTTACATTTAAAAAGAAGCACCACATATTTATGTGACCATGCTGAAATGTGTGTGTGTGTGTGTGTGTGTGTGTGTGTGTGTGTGTGTGTGTGTGTGTGTGTGTGTGTGTGTGTGTGTGTGTGTATGCCCACGGCTCGCACACCAATCACACGCATGTACATGCACGCTACACGCACACATCCATGTGTAACCGGCATGTAGATATGCACACTGTCTGTCAACTCACCGTGGTTAGAAGCTCAGCGGTGGTGGCCAGTGCAGCTTTGTTCTGCAATGCAAGCTGACCCCGTGTGTCCTGGAGCTGTTGGCTGTCAACATCCATACGTGCTGAAGAGGATAGACCTGAATATTTCAAAAGCAGTACACAGAAGACGTACTAAATAGCACATTGAATGAGTCATGCAGGACAATGGGTGCACACTGCTACACTAGTGTTGGTAGATTAAACATCTTTCATACAGGGGATCCCGAGTGTGGCAACAAATATTATCAGAGGATAGTAAAGAACGGCCACATGAAGAAAATGAACGCTATGCTATTACATTGTACATACCGTATTTTACCGGTTGTAAGTCGACCCCGGTTATAGGTCGACCCCCGTATCCGGAGGTCTCAATTCTGCATTTTAAAGTTTTCACCCAAAGAAGCACTACTAACCACCTCCTGCTACTAACACATCAACAAATCATGTGAACATTCCTTATTGGAGGGTATAACGTCCCAATCCTTGAAAAAAAATGCCAATAAACTGGCAACAATGTGTACACATGGTGCACTCGTGCATGCAGTGCAGGTCATTTTTTGTAAGATACTGATAGTTCCCGGTTATAAGTCGAATCCCGGTTGTAAGTCGACCCCCACCCTTTCTCCGTCTATTTCAAGTCGTAAAAGGTCGACTTACAACCGGAAAAATACGGTAGTATGTCACCATAGAACCTCCCGCTACACTATTCACAGGCTCTATAAGTTAGTTAGTAGTGGTGGAGTTTTCACACGTTTTACACTACGCCACTATGCAACTCCCCTGTAAGTATATCTGAGAGCTGTTTGGACGGACTCACCGGGCGTAGTCGCTGCAGGACTCCGTGTTTCTCCGCGCCTTAGCGTTGCCAATGCTGCACTCTGATCCCGAATGACTCGATCATGGTTCTGTGCCTGGCAGCGTGCTCCCACTTCAGCCAAGCTAAAGGTTTTCTGATGCTGCCAAGGAAGAGATTGGCAAGCACAAAGCCGAGTGGCATTCATTTCCTGACCCATTACTAGTCTAGCACATGTATTTATATCCTGCTCCTGTATCATTTCCTTGTGTTGGATTGCCTATGCATGTACCTGTTTATATAACAGTTACACACGAAGGGCAGAACACGCATGTAATGGTAAATTACCCAACATAACCCCCCCCCCCAAATAGAGTCTTGAATAATGTAACTGACCAGAACCATTGAACCATTATGCATTTCACTACCAGCATCAACTGGTACTGGCACTAAGTACTGTAAGCCACTCTTCCGTCAAACACATCCTGGCAGCAGATCTGAGCAGCAGTTTGGACAGCAAACATTGCTGCTTCACATCATAGTGCAGTCAAGGTTAAATGGCATGTGCCAAGCACCGGCGGCACTTTCAATAAAATTACCTTCTCGTTCAGATGAGATAACTCTTGTCGGTGTGCACGTACACCGCTTTTCCATTGCATGCGTGCTTGTTTGAGCTCTTGACGTTGGTCACTCTCCACGCCGTGACTTGCCTCAAGTAACTGATGTGCATACTGTGTTTCAGCCACCTGGGCTTCCATGTCAGTACTATGGCGCTGGCTCTCTTCTTTCATCGTCCTTATCTCACCAAGCTGACGCTGGATCAGCTCGTGCTTGGCATTCAACTCCTGCTTCAGGCATCTCTCAATCTCCATGCTCTCCTGGGTGCGACTTGCCTGAAGGTCAGCTAACTGAGCCGAAGCACCGGCCAAGTCGCGCTGCAGGGTGTATATTTGATTGTTTTGCTCTCTGACCTTTGCTTGGAGAGCGCCAGTGTCTTTTCTGTAGGTCAATAACAGCACAGCACAGCATAGCATGGCACATGGCAGCACAGCGCGAGCACAGCACAGCACAGCACAGCACAGCACAGTATGCGGGATCAACAGAGTGATCAGGAACTGAACACCCTTGCAGTAACAGTCAGGTTTCACATCATCTCAGCAATGGTTCCAACTCAAGTACACACAGTACACCACAGCACACACTATACCTGGAAACTTCCAAGAGGCGCACCAGGTTGTCGAACTCAGACTCCAACTCGTCCTGGCTCATGTCATCACAGGAAACAAGGCTGTCTGACACACCATCATCGACTTTCTGCGTTATCACCGGCCCACTGTCATCTGCGGACACAGTATGTACTGACGGCTGTGCTGCAAAGCTGACATGCTGGGACGTGTCCACTGGTCTAAGTAACTCCACGGCAGCTGACCGGCTAGAAGCGCCTGTATTGCCATGCAGCAAAGAACAAACAAACAAACACACACACACACACGGACACACACACACACACGTATACACACAGAGTATGCAAACATACAGCCAGCGTCTGGCCACCAACATATGTTCCAGTGAGGGGAAAAGGATGAGGAATCTGGGAGCCTAGCTGGCAGAGTGACGTCTTGCTGATGAGTGCCATGTCGATGGAGATTTGGACTTCTGCCGACTCCGTTGAAAGTTGGTGGCGGCCTGGAAGCGTGTGAATCTACTTTTCCACCAAGTCCAAACCACCGGTGGCTGAATTTTTGCAGCGGTGAGCAGGTCCAGTGCCAAGGGTTCTGGTACTAATCGGGAACAAACGCTTCAGACGTTTCATTTTATTTCATTGATCTTCCAAAGGCAAGTAAATACCTGTCAAGTGAATCCTAGCCAGTTTAATACCTAGCATGCTGTTACCTACCTAGTGCACTACATGTACAAGGAAGTACAAATGCAACACATCCATGCAACACATCCATGCAACACATCCATGCAACACATCCATGAAACACACCCATAAAACAAAATGAAGGAACGAACCTATACAGGTTATGCGATTACATCGCGAGTTGAGATCCTTTGGTGGCAAAATCGTAGCACATCGAAGCACTGGCGGCTCTCTAGCGACTCAATAGCGGCCCGCGCTGCATACATAGCGCCCATAAGCGGTTCCGCTGACTCACCACTATGACATCATTCGCTTAACATGTATTAGTATAATATATAGTAAGGCCACTCTTTGTTAATTCATTGTTTAACGTCCTTTTTTTCGCGAAAAGGTACGCGGGAGGGCGGAAAAAAAACAAAAGCCCATTCCAAAAACTGGAAACCCCAATCAAACATTTTGACCAGTAAAGCATGTGATATATACAATATTTCTGGGTCTAACGGCACTTGCAGGCATAGAACAACACTCTTTGATGGTACATTGGAGCACATGCCTGATGAATTCAACAAAACAGGTACATAGCATGGAGTTAGCATGTCATGAATTCATTACATCTGGATTTTTACTAGGACACACACCGTCCGATATTTAAAAGCCAACAAAAAAAAGAAAAAGAACACAAGACAAAGGCATGCCCGGGAGGCAAGATTATAAGTTTAAGGTCATGATCGGCACACTGTGAAACTACACAATCATGTATTTACAACTTCGCATATTATTGGTACTACTACTTTCTTGTTTTTTTTCCGGTCGGAGGCAAAAAGGTACGCGGGCGCGGACGTTAAACAACGAAAAAAGAAAGGGTGGCCTAATACATGTATGTCCATTACCAGTGCTAACCTACAACACTAGTGTGTGCATGTGTGTCCATTACCAGTGCTAACCTACAACACTGGTGTGTGCATGTGTGTCCATTACCAGTGCTAACCTACAACACTGGTGTGTGCATATGTGTCCATTACCAGTGCTAACCTACAACACTGGTGTGTGCATGTGTGTCCATTACCAGTGCTAACCTACAACACTGGTGTGTGCATGTGTGTCCATTACCAGTGCTAACCTACAACACTGGTGTGTGCATGTGTGTCCATTACCAGTGCTAACCTACAACACTGGTGTGTGCATGTGTGTCCATTACCAGTGCTAACCTACAACACTGGTGTGTGCATGTGTGCCCATTACCAGTGCTAACCTACAACACTGGTGTGTGCATGTGTGTCCATTACCAGTGCTAACCTACAACACTGGTGTGTGCATATGTGTCCATTACCAGTGCTAACCTACAACACTGGTGTGTGCATGTGTGTCCATTACCAGTGCTAACCTACAACACTGGTGTGTGCATGTGTGAAGAATACTGAAGATAGATATACCCATGAATGGTTATCCTTGATGATGTGGACCGGTGGTGTTGAACTTACGTCTGAGTACGCTGGCTCTGCTGTGCCTGATTGACTTCTCGGATTTCTTCCTTCCGGCGACGTCCAACTGTCCTCTTAGCTGCTTGATTTCCTCCAAGGATCTGCACAGTTTCTCTTCCATGGAAATGATAGTCTTAGTATGCTGTCTACTAAGCTCCTGCACATACCGGAGAGCACATAACGTTAGTGAGAAAGGCAAAACAGAACACTACCGTAACTTGGACTGAATGATGGGATGCGTTGGCACTAGCTGCAGGAGAGCAATCGTATTTACATGCACATGCACCCTTCAGGTGGGTGCATATATTGAACTTAATGTTCAATCATGTCACAGTAGGGCCGTGCTAGCCCAGCCTAACACTGCTAGTAGTAACCCTATGGTCCAGGATCAATGTTCCACAATGAGTCGACCCATGCAGCAGCAGAACCTCAGCATATTGGAGCAGCAACATATGAGCTGATTAGTGCACTACCAAGTAGATCATCAAGCCGGCAATGAGCAATGAGGAAATTGAACTACTAACAATACTGCATGGGATATGCCGGACCGACTGATAAGAGGTCACACTACCATGGGTCACACTACCATGGGTCACACTACCATGGCTGAGACATAGCCAAACTGTTAGTCACAGTATTCAATGGGTGTAGGGCGTCGTTCTAAGATGCCAGACCAAGCTTGCCTTACACTGTTGCCTATGGTACCCACCTCCTGCATCGTAATAGTTCCATGGCATTTCTCATGCACTGCATTGCATGCAGCGCCGATTCTGTCAGGCTCACCGTCCAATTTGCCTTGAAGTGAATCCTGCATGCATAGCACACAGGCCAACCTCACCACAATACACAATACCCATGCTGCCCTAGTACATGCATTATTTGGTTGTTCGGGTTGGGTGGGTGGGTGGGTTGGGTTGGATTGGTTGGTTGGTTGGGTTGGCTGGAGGTCATGTTCCATGATCACCATCAATGTATTCAGCTGATCAAGGGTGCAGGGTGCGGTACAAGCACAGTGATGGTCATCTAGCCTAGGGGTGATGGTACAGCGATGGCCACCTGCATTCATATGTAGCAAACACAACACAAAAGGCCAGGTCTTTGAGAGCAATTACATGAGGGGAGGGGGGGGGGGCAGACATACGCCAGCGAGAATGTGGCTGAAAAGAAACGCGGTAAACCCACCCTAGCTGCAGTCATCTCCAGCAGTTCCTGTTGCACTCGCTCCTTCGCCTGCTCGCGTTCTCTGCAATCACAAGTAGCGGACTCCAACGCCTAGCACAAGGAACAAGGTAGACATCCACTATTACGACTCTTTCAAAAACATCAGTAATATGTGTACGTATCCATCACGAAATATTCAATGATAGAAAAGAAAAGGATCAAGGAACTACAAGTTACGCAATACAGCCTATACAGCCAATATTCATTGATTGGAACTTTGGAAGGAAAGGTGCAAATGGGAAAAGTCCAAGTGAAGAAAAAATTGACTGTCACCCGCACCACAAACAATGCACATATGCAGGCAACTACACAATGAGGGCCAGTAGAGAGTCAGCTCGTACCGGCTTAGGGCCGTAGCACCAGGATTTCAGGTGGTCTAGCCAAATGACATACTTGGCCGGAAATGAACATTATTGAGGAAAACCGCCTTGCACAAATTCGGTACAGGGAGTTGTCAAATTAATAAGTATAGAATCAGACATGGATGTCAGGGCAGTATCGTTGATTCAGGCCCCGAGAGCGGCCCAAGGCCGAGGGCCGCTCGAGGGCCTGAATCAACGATACCTGCCCTGACATCCATGTCTGATTGTGTTTCAGACTGGCACCCACGCACGACAGCACAAGCGAAAGCCAGAACCCTCTCCTCAGCAGAACGTGCACGGGCAAGTGCACCTACAGCGCACCCCCAGCATGCTAGCAGTGCAAACAAAGCCACTGTACTGCACTAATCTACATAAATCGAACCTGAAATACATCAACTAGAAACACCGAGTGCCTGCCTGCCTGCCGGCTGAAGTTTCGTTCAGAAGTTTCAGCTCACAAAGTTTCAGGTCCTGAAGTTCCAGTTTCGTTCTGAAGTTTCATGTCAAGCAAGGTGAAGTTTCATCTCAAGCAAGGTGAAGTTTCATCTCAAGCAAGGTGAAGTTTCAGGTCCGTACGCTCTCGGGCTTTGTTGATTCAGGCCCTCGAGCGGCCCTCGGCCTTCGGCCTTGGGCTACGCTCTCGGGGCCTGAATCAACAAAGCCCTCGAGCGTACAGACCTGAAACTCACAAGCTGAATCCTCCACGTCCCCGACCACCACCCCTAGACGTGTCTTCCTTTTATACCTTCATGCCCGCGTGCTCAGTTTCACCTCCACATGCTCTCGGGACGTGCTGATTGGTCAAGGGCCTGAATGGCACCGCATGTATGTCGTGCGTGGGTGGCAGTCTGAAACACAATCAGACATGGATGTCAGGCTTTTTCTTTCTCTCTTGTTCCACCTAGATCAGGTAAGTCTCTCCATGTGTGAGTATACCATTATGTGATCATTCATGCCCTCCTACGGAGCCATTCAAGCCCTAGGGCCTGAATGGCAGGGCATGATCAGAGGTTCAGGCCCAGCCTGTGAGCGCTCTGATTGGGTCAAACTGTGGCAGCGATCACGTGGCATGTCTGAATGATATTTCACGACTCCCTAGTTGGGTGGATCGACTACTAGTAGATACTTTTGAAATATGGTCCGGTTACGGCCAAACAGGCTAGACTGGGTGCTATGGCCCTGACGGTGCAAATACATTAATTGGCACACTGATGGCAGCAGATGCAGCGACAGTGGCAGCAGCAATCGCAGCCACAGGCGCAGCTGTGAAACAAGCCACTGAAATGAAATATTTCCGTTTCGTGAATTATATAATTATAATGACCGAAGGACCCATACCTTCTTTAAATCTCTGGTTTGCTCCGCATACCCATCCTCCACCGTCTTACGCTCAGTGATGGCTTTAGCCACAGCAGCTTGTGTTGCATCATCTATTTGGGCTTGGCACTCTGTGAGGGCAGCTGACTTGTCGGCATTAGCCTCCTTGCGCAGTGCTACAGTCAACAGTGCCACGGACTGTTCGTGTTCTTGTCTGGCATGGACTAGGCTAATGGAGAGAGAAAGAGAAAGAGAGAGAGAGATGGGTGAGTGAGAGAGAGAGATACAGAGAGATACAGAGACAGAGAGAGAGAGAGAGAGAGAGAGAGAGAGAGAGAGAGAGAGAATTAGGGAAGGAGGGAAGGAGGGAAGGAAGGAAGGAAGGAAGAAAGGAAGGAAGGAAGAAAGGAGGGAGGGAGGGAGGAAGCAAGTAACGAAGGTAGGGAGAGGGAGAGGGAGAGAGAGAGAATTAGGGAAGGAGGGAAGGAGGGAAGGAGGGAAGGAAGGAAGCAAGTAACGAAGGTAGGGAGAGGGAGAGGGAGAGGGAGAGAGAGAGAATTAGGGAAGGAGGGAAGGAGGGAAGGAGGGAAGGAGGGAAGGAAGGAAGGAAGAAAGGAAGGAAGGAGGGAGGGAGGGAGGAAGCAAGTAACGAAGGTAGGGAGTGGGAGAGGGAGAGGGAGAAGAGAGGGAGAGGGAGAGGGAGAGGGAGAGGGAGAGGGAGAGGGAGAGGGAGAGGGAGAGGGAGAGGGAGAGGGAGAGGGAGAGGGAGAGGGAGGGAGAGGGAGAGGGAGAGGGAGAGGGAGAGGGGGTGGGAGAGTGGGGTGGGGGAGATACAAATGCCATAATACAAGATATCCATATGTACTCACACAATCATCACTTTTAGAGTGCCAGGGCATGGACTACTGTGCCACCCAAAAGTAAATCCCTACCCACCAACACCACCGTCACCGCCACCAAAGCAAAGCCCCACAGATATATTCGGAGAAAACACACAGAAGAAGTTGCCTATACGTTGCAAACCAAACTTGCCACATCTGTAGGTCTCATAGAAGGCTGATCCATAGAGGGTGGTGGTGTTCCTACGGATGTGGAAAACTCGGCCTCCAGCCAAGTCTCACATGAACCGTGATTCTTTTGGTCTAAACACCAGCAACAATACATCACTACTCCAGCAACAATACATCACTGCTGGAAAACATCGAAGAGCAATGATCGTAACCATAGTAACAAGATAACTTACTGGCTTTGCAAGTCTTTCGTCTCTTCCGTCAGTTTAGTCAATTTCTGTGTGAGATGAGACACTATTGCACTAGGGTCTGGATACATGATGTACACACGTGCACGTGTACACACACACACAAACAAACACAGACATGTGTGCAAGCGCATACACATGCATACAGACATGGAACAATTTAGAAACCGGCGGCATTATGAAGATTATAATAATACTACTGTTAAGTACCGCAAGAGCGCCCCGGCACCAACTCATCCTTTTGTGGGCGTGCTGTGGAGGTGGTGTCCTGTCTGTAGGTCATACAAATGTACCTTGTATCCACACTGCGTGCTGCGCAGTCAATCCGCACTCAGTTTACCTCAGGGCGGATGCCAGCTCCACACAAGAGGGACAAGACCATGCTAAGTGTGACCTTGGTACTAAGGTTCTCACACCGTACAAACTTACTGTAGTTGCACTCTGCGGTAGTTACGATTTTCCTTTCCCTGGCTGTAAAATGAAGGTGGGGAGCTCGCGGGGTACTTTACGGCACATGTGCTGCATAAGATTTCACAGCACGATTGCTTTACAGTACCGGGCAAAAAAGACTCGCATTCACAACCAGTACATTCCCATTTGGTGTTGATGTACACTATTGTTAAAAAAAAAAGGATGCATCTGTCAAGTACAGCAACGTGTGCATGGCAGCTACAAGGTAGCATTGCCGCCGCATACAGTGAGTTGTGCATGGACTGGTAGCTACAAGGAAGTATGGCCATAGCATACAACGAACATGCATCCCCGGAAGAAATCCAACCTGGGGTCTGATGCAGTGTCTTTGCAACTCAAGGTGCACGGTGTTGATACATTGCAAGAGTCCGCAGGCTTTACTGCCCACTGGCCCAACTTCGTAGCTTACCGTCTCGCTGTAGCATTATTACCCTAAGTACAGGCCTGCCCGGCGTTTGGTTCACGTACCTGCTCCTTCTTCAATGTCACTTAAAACAGTAGCAGCAGCAGATTGTAGCGAGCACACCAGATCTCGCAGCTCAGAGCGGGTGACAACCATGTAGTCCATCAGATCACAGACACTCCCCTTATGAAGAACAGGTCAAAAACAACCAGCAACAGTAACAACAACAGAATCAGCAGCAGCGCTACCAAGCGTGATAGTGGCAACCCATCCACAGCAACAGCCGCATGATCAATCCGTGACCAGCATCGGGTGACATGAGACAAGCCGACACAGAACTACTGAAGTAGATATTCCAGCCATTTTAACGTACCTGTACTGCACTAGCAAATCAATACAAACTCTCCCGGTCTGCAGACCAGTCCAGGCACATTAGCCCCGGTGTGCTGCAGGGCTTTCAGTCTAGACGGTTGCCTAAATGCTACCATCAACACCAAGTGTACACAGAACCCACAAGGATTGGACAAACCTGATTGCTTATATGTATGTATTCATGCGTTGTGTGCCATGTGCATGTTTTGACGAACACCCCCATTTTGGCGGAGTTATGCAATGTGTGGCAGGATTACCTTCATCTTTGCATAGTTGTGTGGCGCCTTGAGGTCTCGAACCTGCTGAGATGTACCCTTCAAAACGGTGTTCTCTATCTCCTACACACAGAGATGATAGACAGAATTAAAAAGCCATATGAGACGTCCATGCTCCCTAAAGAACGGCATGATGCCATCTGCAAGGTTGCATGCATGTGCATGTGCATGCATGTACGTGCACACCACACACACGTATGAGCACAGCATGAATGCACACCTGCGTGCGCATGTACACGTTCAAGTCACTCCCTCGATATCCAAGCTTACACAGGAAACCGTTATTAGGCCATCATTTTTTATATCTATGTTTCGCGTCAGTTCAACTTCCAGAATCATATGCGAGAGGTGGAAAAAAATAAAAAAGTTGCAAAATAATAAAAAAGGCTCATCAGAGGTGTATGCACTGTACATAGCACAATAGCTCGTGCATGGTGTACATTCGAAAGAAAAATCGTGCATCGAAGCACAACATCTGGGTTATCAACATGAGTAAAATATTCACTTTGGACAGAGGAGGCAACCGTTGGTGCCTATGCTTCGCTGGAATATTGTACTTAGACTTCAGCAGCGGTGCAAAGAGCTCCGGAACGACGCATCCTCTCAGCTTAGGCGATCAATGCGGTCTGGTGTAAGCTCATAGAATATTGCTCCCAGATGCCGAACAAATGATTTACCAACGCTGGCCTAGGCTAGAGGCCATTTCTGAATCCCAGCTTCGCCGTATGCAACCTGTCCACACTGATGACTCGCACTATCGTACACTCACTGTGCATGTTTTATTTTTTATTTTTTTCCGAAAAAAATCAAAACGTATGCGTGCGGACGACGCGAAACATAGCTATAAAAAATGATGGCCTTATTCTCTATGAAAACCCCTTCTAAAGGAGTTTAAATGGTAACAGCTTCCACATGTGCATGTATATGTACTTCAAAGTAACAAATTGTTCGTGTACCTTTGGGTTGCCAATGTCGATACATTCTTGGAGACCAGAGAGAAAGGCAGTCAGCTCTGCGTTGGTATTGCTGACCTGAAGAAAATGAAAGATGAGGCACAGAGAAAGATTGAGGCGCACAAATGGTACACGACGTGACGTCACTAGTACACCCGAACTGTTAACTCAGCTTCTAGTTTTATTTGGCCAGCTCGGCCTCAGGGATCTAAGAGTAATTCAGGGGCGTTGGAACCGGTGCGGCAGGTGCGGCCAAAGCCGCACCAATAATTTTCCAAGTTTTTTTAAATTTTTAGACGGGAACCGGTCTCTTGTACGGGCAGAAGTAACACAATGATATATATATTCTTATTTCTCATATTATTCTGTAGCATTAAAATATGGCCTTTTAGGCCCAATTTTCAAAAAATATTCCCGGCGGAAGACCCCGGACCCCCTCACACTTTCGCCGCACCAATGTTAAACTGCTTCCGACGCCCCTGCATACACCTGAGTAGCTTTCCTGAGTTAGCTCAAACAGAGACATGGCTGCATGATTCAGGTACAGGTACACCTTGAACGGTATGCTGGTCACGGTCTGTATTTCAATGCGAGCACCATCCATTCGTGTTGTCGTCACGATAAGGACGAACCGATTCTACGGTAGCTATTACAGACCAGATGGTGGTTCAGTGACTAAATCTTGTGAAAACAGTGCATGCGGCCAAACACCATATTCATGTTCCTAGCTGACAGCTTGACAACACACTACTACATGTAGTACAAAGCACAGAGAACATGTGACACCACACTGGTACATGCTCCAAACAACGTCAATTGGCAAGACAGGGATTAGAAAATCACAGGCATTCACTGGCCGCACCTCTTCAAACTCTGCCCGCAGCGCCTTGAGTTGTTTCACGCAGGTCCTCCTTCCAGCCATCACCTTGCCCAGGCCGTGCAACGCTACGTCCACCGACAACAGCTTCTGCACTGCGGCTCCATGGCGGCGTTCAGATCCACTGAGATCCCCGTCAGAACTAGACTGATCCGCGTTGCTGTCATCGTCGTCGTCATCATCATCATCATCTTCATGGATGGTTTCAGTGAAGTCTAGTACATTCCTGATGAATGCCTTGAGCTACAGCACAATCAATGGAGGACAGCATTGCCTGAGAACAAAATAGAAATGCTGTAACAAAGTATATACCGACAGCCTCCAGTAATGCAGGGAAAGTCCCTGTCTTGGTAAGGTGGGAACTATAGCACATCACACCGCTAATGCAGTCTGGACAGGAGTCATCATGCCCGAGCATGGTAAAGAAGGTAGAGGAGACGGTTTCAAATAGGAAATAGGTTGCAAACCGGAACGGGCTCAATATTCACTTTCTCTCTTGGTACAGTCTGTATCGGCTATAGAGTGACCGGATATAAGAATATATCGGCTACAGTGATATTGGTACGAAATATCAAAAGCAAAACGTATTTTATCCAGTAAATATATCACTATAACCAATATTATCGGATGTAATGATATATCGGATACTATGATGGCAACAAAGAATCAAAACATGCATAACACACTATATTGTTATCGGCAAAAGTGATAACTTTAAAATACATGTAGCAACAATATCAAAGGCCCTATGTTTTTACTTTCTTCACGTTGCTTATTTTTATAGTGATACATGTACATGTACATAAGAGAATTTTTTTATGGAAATGCCGGCACTGTCAACCAGGGAGTCGTAAAATACCATATATTTTACGACTCCCTGCTGTCAACTATGCAGCATACTCATTTGTCAAAATGCCATGCTGGAAGTATTTCCTTGTCTTTCATGTGTCGATCGAAAAAAGAAAAAAATCGATCGTATCGCATATAGCGATGCATCGGTTATAGTGATAAAATCACGGAAATCAAAAGGGCCGATACAGACTGTATTTTGATTAGAAAACATAATACTGATTATCACGACTACGATGTGCTTAATCGGTTGTGGCGACAAACGCGATTAGGCCGGCTGCAGGGACGCCGTGATGTCGCACTCGCCCCAGCACCATTCAAACAATTCCCTTTGGCAGTTCACGGCACGAACTTCAACAAGCCCCGTGAATGCATACCAGGGGAAGGCTAGACAGCATGTCTCTAGACATCAATAGGCATCGTATGAAAAGCCAGTCAATAGCACTAAAGAGCGAAAGCCTTTGTCACGGTTCGGTTTCACTCGCGCACCGGGCCCGAGCTGGCAGCACAAACAAACGCCGGACGCGAGCTGGCAGCACAAACAAACGCCGTACTCACACGAGACCGTTGGGCCAACGGATGGCCACAGCCATCAAAAACAGGAACAAACCCATCCACGGCTCTTTCTCTTGCTAGCTGTGCTGCAGCGTGCATCCAACTGTTTTGCAATTTCTCCCTCCCACCCACGCCTCCTGGTATTTATTATCGCTCTACACTATCCTACGTCTCACAATGAGTGCCACTCAGCATGATGGTACTCCAAGCTACATTGTATTTGATCTGTCCTAGCTCACTATTCTGGACAAAATATTAATTCAATTGCAATGAAGCGCCGGGGGCCGGCGGGGGCATTCGGCGGCTTGGTCTGATTCCTAGCTTGTTGGTAACCGGCTTGAGATTTCCAAGGTTGCTATGACGACGTGCAGTCATGCGCAGGGCCACCCAACATGCATTTGGGGGCCCAGGAAAGACAGAAATGCATTGCTAGGCAACAGCAAAAGCGCTCGGCGAGTATCACGCTACTCATGCAGCACGCACGTTGGCTTAGGGTATCACGCTACCCTTGCGCTGCGGGGTACCACATTGCCCCTCGCTGGAATCAGACCCGCGCCCCGGATACCTTGCGCTGGCCTCCTGACAGCCAAAGTCAACCAACTTGTGCGCTGTGACTGGGGTTGTGCATGTATTAGCAACATAATGTGGCCCAGGTCGGCAGACTTTCAATTAGCCAAGTGAGCTACTCAGGCCAGGGTGCATGATCACTATTCGCAGCACTTATCGTCCATGCAGCAGTCGGGTTAATACTCCGAGCCAAAGGTCCATGGCTCTGCGATGACCAGAAGCGCCATACCAAGCAGGTGAGTTTTTGACGTGTTGCTTCGCACTGCAACTTGAGTTGAACGTCTTTCGAAAATCAACTTCTTATTGCAGGTACACAGCGGCTCGCCTCTCGCCAATGAAGCACCGTATACCAATGAAAACTAATGGAAGCACGCACAAGGCTTAGTGTTTCTCTGTACTGGCTGTCGTGAAGCGATAGCAATTACCTAATTTCAGAACTCAGGGTGAACTTGATGTGCACTCCAAAACTGTTCCAGTTTGGAGACACCAAAATTTGAAGGGAAAATCGGGCAGCTTGGAGGCAACGGGCCACAAAGGAGTAGCTCAGCTCAATCGACTCTGGCCTCAGAGCAAACTTCAACATGCCAGCTTCCTTCCACAAACATATTTTGAGTGAACAATCCACGCTGATGATCGGTTTGGGTCCACACAATTTTGCTGCCAAACCGCTGCTATTTGAAACCGTCTCCTCTACCAATCATTGGTAAGTAGGCTGCAACCCACTGCCGGTAAGGTGAGTGTAGCCCATTGGTAAGGTGGGAGTGACCACTTGGCAAACCTGATCAGCGCACAAAGTTTAAACCCGCAGTGATTTCTTTGAAAAAAACCTGGATACCACTCCACCACAAGTCCTCACTGTGCTAAGGAAGTAGCCTGGGAATTCCCCCTTGGTTAGTCCCCCTCCCTTCAGATCCCTTGGTATATTGTAATTATCGTCTATCGTTTGGTTAGGAGTGAGACTGCACCTTGATCCTAAAGAGTGATGGTGTTCCTGCAAAATGCGGAAACCTCAGTCTATTTAACCGAGTCACACGTGAACCGAAATTTTTATTTTAAGACGGAGTCACTCCGTTGAAAGGGCTGGGTTCCACTGTGGTGACGATAAAATCATCGTTTCGAAGAAGTTTTCTGTAAAGCAGAAGATGAAGAGACATGCAGCAGCAGCACTCCCCTCTAAAGAGATATGGTCAGTGCTTACGCGTGTCCGGTCCACATACCTTCTCACATACCTTCTCACATACCTTCTCACATACCTTCTCTGTGACTCCACGTGCCTCTAGTTCCTTGTCGCGCACTCGGCTACGTTCATTAGATAGTTCAACACGCACACGATCCACTTCCTTGTGAACCTTTCCAACCGGAACAATACCCAATGGATCACATACATGCAAGCACATCCGTACACGCACACACACACACACATACACACACACACACACACACACACACACACACACACATACACACGCACACATACACACCCATGTTTGCATCACAAATACACATAAACTATACCTTGTACAGGCAACATGCACTGCTACAGATATCGGAGCCTGCTAGGTGCAGCCCAATGATCCTCCATCAGTGTCTCAGTGAACTTGGCACGTCCACATGACCTAGCAGAAAATACTGCACCTGCTCATCCAATGATTAAAATTTATCTCTCTCCCCTAAACAATTAAAATCGTCTCCCCTAAAAGGTAAGGAAATGTTTTTTTTTAAACCAGCAGCAGAACTCAATAACTCAAAGTGTTGTAGAGGAACAGGGATGGTGACAATGGCATGCACCACCAATCACAGTATACCACCAGCAAACATACCATTGCTGCTTTTGTGAGACCTTCCTTCAGAGTGTCCACTTCACCTTGTAACTTGCTCAGGGCCTTTGACCGATCGTCAACCAACGTTTCCTGGACAGTCAGACACTACACACAGTACACAAACACACCACATGTGCATATCAGTACCAAGTCAATCACCAACACTCTATTGAACTGGTCTCTCAGTCTGTACTGCATTTTGAAAGGAAAAGGGAAAATCTCCACTGAATATTTCAGCTCCGGACCATCATCAGAATTGATAAGAAAGAAGCAGTGACGTGAACCTGCTGCATGTACTTGTAAATACATGCAAGGATGACATTCCGGCGAGAAGGCTACACCTATGGTACTGAATAAGATGCACTTTATAAGTTGCAATGTTGCGCTAAGATAATCATGTGGCGAAGCTGATCTTTGGTCAGCATTCACATGATGTGTATGGCTGTCCGCACCATAGCCTACATATACAGTGCTGGCAACTGAAGGTGTAGTCTTCTCACCTTCTGATTGTAGTCTGTGCATGTGTGTATACAGGGTTTTGATTGATTGATTTTTATTAGGTCTCTCTCACTGTTTGTTTCTTTTCACTCCCCCCCCCCCCCCCCCCCGTTAACAGCAAGACTTCACTGTGAAAACGCAGCCGGGTTACCACTAACCAGCAGTACCGTATCGGATAGCGGAGGACTTACTTGCCGAAGGTCTTCAACTTCTCTTTGACCTGATGTCCGGCGTGTACGCATTGATGTTAGCTAAAAAATGACATAATATGGTCAAGAGCAGACACAGCAGCAAACACACACAACAATCACATAACCAATACTGGGCTCTATTACATACAAATACCCTACAGTTTTCATACATCATGCCACCTTACGCTATCGCAACAGTCAGAATACAATGTAGACCATAATGGTTCTTTCAACCAAGGTACAAAATTAATACAATCAAACGTTCACTTTGACTTTGGCTGGGATCATTCTTAATTTTTGGAAATGATTTTGTAAACGTAACACCCATGTGCATGATATCACCACCATAGTGGCCAAGACCAAGTGGTGGCTCATGGTGATGTCAGGCAAACCACAGTCGGCATTAAACTCTTTCACACCATGGTCTTACTTCACTTCTCAGCATATTTGCCGTAGCTGTCTTCTCCGCCAAGTCCTTCTGCAGTTGGTTGTTGATCTTGGCAAGGTCAGCAACCTCTTGTTGAAGCTTCTTGCGTTCATCCGTCAATGATGAGACAGCCTGCCGGCGCTGTGACAGGTCTTTTCTTAGACCGGGCACTTGTTCAGCCTGTGGCAGCACACACCGGAGAATTCAAACAGACTCGTGACCAGGCGCGTGCCCCGTATGGGTTCCTGGGTGCCCAGAACCCCCCTTTTTCGCTCAAAATGCAGGATTTTGCTTCATTTTTTGAAAACATTTCCCGGGGGCCCCCCCTTGAAGGGCACCGGCGCTCGGGCCTGGTGACTACGTAACAGTTACGAACAGGACCGGCAGAAGCAGTTTTTGATTGGTCCAGTCATACCACAGCGGTTCATGCTTTGTGTGATATATGGCGGGTACATATGACTCCCTCGGCAGGTAACACCCATTGGTGGTCAAAGAGTGGGTCCGACCATGGCCTGACCAAGCGGACCGGCTCCGCCGGCCCTGATGAACCAGCACTAAGATCCAGAGGACCAGCATCATTACCACTCTCCGGCCCTATTTCCCCGGCAACCGCATTCTCACTGAAAACCGCTATCCAACCATCAACCAAAAATATGCTGAAGTGAACAATAGAATAGATGGCACTCGATCCAACCATCACACTGAACCGGCTCCCTTGCTTCTTGCTGCAACACTTCACCAGTACTAAGTCAGAATAGCAGGATATGCGGGAGTTGCACACTCTTGGAGGTTATGCCCTCTTGCTAACACACACTGTATTGATGCTAGTACTGGTATTGATAGACACTAAATTCAAGTTTGGCTATTCTAATGTGGAAACGACTGCAGCCCTAAAGCTCAGTGAAGTTTGCATGTTTTAGGGGAAATGCAACATCTTGAAGTTCAGTTAACGCTACCAAGGTAAGCAGAGGAGATGGTCAAATGCAGATTAACATGGTAAGGAACTTGCAAATATGACGTTGCGGATCCGGTGCTCAGTATGATGGGAGGAACGTTTCCTCCTCCGGGAGACCTACTGCTGGAGATTCAGTACCGTATTTTACCGGTTGTAAGTCGACCCCGGTTATAGGTCGACCCCCGTATATGGAGGTCTCAATTCTGCATTTTAAAGTTTTCACCCAACGAAGCACTACTAACCACCTCCTGCTACTAACACACCAACAAATCATGTAAACATTCCTTATTGGAGGGTATAACTTCCCAATCCTTGAAAAAGGCCAATAAACTGGCAAAAATGTGTACACATGGTGCTCTCGTGCATGCAGTGCAGGTCATTTTTTGTAAGATACTGATAGTTCCCGGTTATAAGTCGAATCCCGGTTGTAAGTCGACCCCACCCTTTCTCCTTCTATTTTTAGTTGTAAAAGGTCGACTTACAACCGGAAAAATACGGTATGTGATTTTGGTTGGGGAGGCCCAGGTAGCGAGGGAGAGGTGTTGCACCACCCTCACTATGCCAAGCGTGTCAAAGCAAGAGGTCTCTAACACCTTCTGGGGGAGAGTCAGTATACACGTTGGGCTACCATTGCCTTTCTCTTACGGCAAAGAAGTGCAACACAACACTGCACCACCGCCATACCTGATCTCTAAAGGCGATCAGCCGCGAGGACTCGGTCTCTCTCTTCTCCTCCAGCTGCTTGACCGATGCAGTCAGATTCTGGACTAGCTGCGCTTGTTGTTCTTCGGATTGTCCCGTACTGGTGAGCTGTTGGCGAAGCTCGGCTATAACAATGTCCTTGCGATGGCACTCATTCTCAAACACCGACAACCGGCTGATTTCATCACCCATGCGGAGTAGCTTTTCATTCTGCATGCATTGAAATAGACAATGGTGGACAAATACAATACCGCGGGTTGAGCCAATCCATGTACATTTGCAAGTCTAATATGCTATGTGAGCGGCCCACGTTTACTGAAATGCTGCACAGGAGCATAGATTAAGTTACTCTATCCGCAGACAGTCCTGTGTGTTTCTGGCTTTGACCCACCTTTTCTCGTTCCGTCATTGAAGACAGCACGCTTGTTGACATAAGATTAGCTTCCGCTGTGCTCATAGAGAGCATTGGTGCTGGCGACACCCGGCTACGGCCTAGCTGCAGCGACCGAGTGCTGCCACCTCCGCCGCCGCTGCTACTGCTATTCATTGGCCCAGCGCTGCTTACACGAGCAGTTGTGATGGGCGTGCTGTGAGCAGCAGGGCGCGATGCCCGTGCACGCTGGTGGGATCCATGACCAGCGGCTGTTGTTATGGCTGGCAAATGGGAAGATGCAAACGATGCGCCGCTCTGCATGATGAACAAAGGCAGAGAAACTGGCACATTGAGCACTGAACATCCATTGAAAAACGGCGCAGTACCGTGTGACAACCAACAACCAACGCACAAGCAGATGATCACTACCAGACTGAGAAAAAGTAGGATGAACACGAAACATTCAGTACCTCAGTTGATTCCACTTCAAAATGAAATACGTCTCCTCCTGGAAATAAGCGTATTGGCATTGCTAAGGAAAATACACAGTAGAGCATCCCAGTCCTTGCATCACTAGAGCCATGCCGCTAGCGTCACCACACCTTCAGTGCCTATCACAAACATTCTGCTATCGTGCACTGCATTTGTTTATACAGACCAATACCAACATGTGTGTGGGCATGCTCGTAGTAATATGGCTCAAGTATCCAACAATCCAACAGTGTCTCAGTTGCAAGTTGTTGGCCACACCTTGCTTCGACAGCATGTACATGGGTGCATGAAAGTCTAGTCCCCCCCCCCGGCATGCGCCAGTCCTATACATGTACTTGTACAACATGAGGATACCATGTCCAAACTGTATGGCATCACCGTGTGCCAGGCGGACTGTGGCATTCTGCAGACGCACATCATTGATGTACGTGCCCTGGGTAGTGTTGAGGTCCGTTAGCACTGCAGATGCACACGTGCCGGGTGCCTGTTCATCCACCTCAATGACCGCATGCCTTCGATCGGCCGTGGATGCCTGCACATAACAGACAAGCAGTAACATATCACAGATGCTATTATTATTACAGAGAGCACATGGATTTTGAAATCTGACTTCACAAATATAAGACAACTGCCACTGGGACTGACAGGAACCGAGCGTGGCGGGAAACTGCACATACACCATGCTACCACCGTCAGTTGGCAAAAGGTGTCAACCGGCCCAAGACCAACCACCGCATGTCACGCAGGGCAGCACATGTCACGCAGGGCAGCCAAAAGCAGTGTTTGATTGGTCCGGCCATACCATAGCCTTTCATACAGTTTGTGCACGATATACATACCATAGCCTTTCATGCCTTGTGCACGATATACATGTACATGTACATGTACCGTAAAGTACCGTTGATCTCCCCCCCCCCCCCCACGCCATGTCGCTTCCCAGCTGGTTTTCGGCAGGGGGCGGGAATTAGATCACGGCTGTCAAGTGCAGTACGATGTACAACAACTTGAAGGATCAGACTCGATGTGCTAAATTGTGCACATTTTCATCCTGGATTGGCACATATTGTGTACAGCAGTGCAAGCGTTGGTTCAACATCGTATTTCGTTGTATACGCCGAAGTCGCTTCACAGGTAGAAAATCGACAGGGGACGGGAAATAGAGAGGGGGCGGATCAACGGTACTTTACGGTAGTGGGAACACACACTAGTAACCTAGTATCCTCAGCAGTAACACACATTATGTTGGTGGCGAACAAGTTTGTTTTTCAAGTTGGTCTGGTGATGACCTGACCAACTGGACCGATTCCGGTGGGCCTGATGTGGATGTGCACATACCAGCATGTTCTGCATCTCACCATGCTCCTCTCAGGCATGTGATGGGGATAGGCAGCATGATGCATGTGATGGGGATAGGCAGCATGATGCATATAATAATAATAATTCGCGGGATTCGCGTTGGCATCGCTTGAATGTTCAGAAACACACAAACTAGCCTTCGCTTCCGCAGGCCACCACTATGCCTATGCCTTGCACACCTTAGTGGCGAATGCAGACCTCACAAGTGAGTCAGGGGAGAGTAGGTGAGTCTCTCAACCAATCGGGCGTGTAACGGCCCATAACCCTGTAAACTGCATCCTTGTTACCCTCACTCCGAGCTGTGAGTACCCAGTTGACCGTGGGTGTCGGCGCAGTTCACCACACATAAAAAGTCTTTACTCACGTAAAAAGTCTTTACACGCTCCCTGCTACCAGCGCGGGTCTCGAACTCGGGACCTCATGATTCGCATGATGCATGTGATGGGGATAGGCAGCATGATGCATGTGATGGGGATAGGCAGCATGATGCATGTGATGGGGATAGGCAGCATGATGCATGTGATGGGGATAGGCAGCATGATGCATGTGATGGGGATAGGCAGCATGATGAATGAAACACCACACACATAGTGTACACCTGTGTGTTCGTGAAGGGATTGCAGCTACTGTGGCAAGCATTATTCTAATTCCAATACATGTACTGCAGGGGCGTAGGAGGGGTTTTGGAAGTGGTACGACCAAAGGTCGGCGCGGCCGAAGGGCGTTTTGGAGGGGGTCCGGGGGACCTCCCCCGAAAATTTTGTAAAAAGACACAAAATCCTGCGTTCTGGGAACTTCTGGCACAGTTTATAAGTCATAGAATTATTTCACGGGCAGAAGAGACGTGCATGGACATGCACAGATGCATGGCAGATCTACGAGTACGAGTCTAGAAAAAGGTCAAAGTCTGATGCGCATATGCATCGATGGATCCTGATTTTTTATTACGGTTTTGCGCATTCCGGACGGACCACACTTTTCGAAAAGTGGTACGGCCATGGTCGTACCAGTCGTAGCGGGTGCTACGCCCCTGCACTGCATGTAGTAATCCATTGTAAGCTTGACGCTTCTGTGTAGTAAGTAAAGTTCGCACATCCGCGTTACTACCGGCTAAGACTTAGAGAAGTTTTGCTCATACCAGGCCACTACCATGCCTCTTACTTTTAGTTAGTCTTACCATCTCATGCTCTCGTGCACAACATACATCTAACGTTAGCACCTACATGCAGTGTTCGTATTCGTCAAGCTACTATCGTGCCACTCAGTTTACAGTACGTATGATGCTGTTATGCACACAGGTTGTGAAAATACCCTGAGTGTAATGTCACATCCTTGACGTCCAACCGTTGTCCGCCTGGATAGCGATAAGTGTGTATCGCCGCTCTTCAACACCGCCCTCATCTCCACCACCAGCTTGCCAATCTAGCGCACTGCACTGTCTTCTTGTTTCTCTTTCACAGCGAAAGCCCGTGGCATTAGTTGCTAAGTTGTTTGCTGCACTGGTGCTGAGCTAGCCGCCTGGTGAATGCCGGTAATGTCTCAAACTGGACCGATTGGTATTGTAACTTGAAGTATTCATTTGCTTTGACTCGGTATGAAGGAGTAACCATGACTCTCAACGATCGATAAATGTCACGGTCAAGACGTGATGGCCGATCCTGACATGATGAAGCTTATTCCCGCAAAGCTTCTTTTCGGAAGCATTTTTCAAATCGGGCTAGCGATATTCATTTTATTGAAGCCTTGAAAAGTTGAATGAAGTAACTAGGCAACCATGGTAACAACCAGGCACAAACGCTAAAAAAACACTTGGTAGCTGGCTAGCTATAGGCCATAGGCGCTATGCAGCGTGGCAGCTACAAAAATAATAATTATATTATTTGTAGCTAGTAGTAGTACTACTACTACTACTAGTACTAGTACTACAGTGGTCCCTCTATAATCCGGCACCATTTGTGCCACGAAAATCTGCTGGATTAGGGAGGGTGCTGGATTAACAAATCTGATTTACTGCTGCAATGTGCATGAAGAGGACATTTTGGCTACTGAAAATTGTGCTGGTTTATCGAGGGTGCTGGATTATAAAGTGCCGGATTAGAGAGGGACGACTGTAGTAGTAGTCATGGTAGTACTAGTAGTAGTCATGGTAGTACTAGTACTAGTAGCAGCCTACTACTACTTTAATACTAGTTATACTAGTGACTAGGGCAGAACTGTCAGAAGTACCGTCGTCGACGCGTCGTCTAGTACTAGTACTAGTACGTAGTAGTACTAGTAGAGATAACAGAGGCAGATTGCTGAAGTCCCTGGCGCATAATTATGCATACAGAACATACAAATTACAATGTAACTAACGTTACTTTGTTGGTTTGTAAGAGGAAAGAGTGCTACTGCTAGCTGGGTAAGTGTCACGGTACCGGTACACTACAGCCATTTTCGGAAATTTCCTGATATCGAGATCTAGACTAGAATCAACACAATGTCATGCATCGATACAAATTATTTACAATAAAAGTCTAAATGAAGTTTCAGTGGGACCATTGTCATTAGGTTTAGGCCTGTTTTGGAACTCCACTCTAAATAAAGCCAAACAACAACAAGTACATGTAGCCGGGCCATGATTATGTAGCTAGGTGAAGGATTTGCCAAAAAATGTTTGAAGCAGGCTACAGTGATAGTCTACATGGCCTATGGTTGGGCGTTCTGAATCACGGATCATACAGCGATTCACCTCAGTAGTCAGTAATGTTTCGTCTGGCAATGGCTCATGGGAATAACACTACAATACTGATTATGCAGCTACTAAGTACAGGCAAGAGTAGTACATGTAGTACACTCATATCATGCTCTCTTATCCGGACCTCCAAGTTAAGGGCACCTCGGTCTACCGGGCACCCTGTTGCCCGAGTTTTAGTGGAAATATTACTACTATTTTGCCAATTTTTGTTGAAACAGTAACGTTTATAGGGGATTCATACTCACGGGAAAACCTGAGGTCACGGGACAAGGTAAAAGTCCAGGCCGTCGGGCAACCGAGTGTGGCCATTCACACCAGTGGTCAGCTTGGCCTTGGCGGCATGTTTGGACATGAATTTGTGGCGTGGAATTAAAAAATCTGTACTGCATTTTTGTAGTACATTCTGTATTTTTGTTTGCATTCGCCATGCGCGATTCTCCGCATGGGGTACTGTCTGAAAATGTAGGCTGCAATGCACTCATCAAGCTGCATGGGGTTCCGAGTTCTCGTCAAAGACAAGATATACGCACTTGCTCCGTATAGCCATGGGATTTTTCCCTTGACAAACGCTCTGAGGCCCACGGCCACGGTTTTGCCAATTTTTCCCGAGAGGTCACTCTTCCTTTCCCTCAGCGCCATGGTTTCCATAACCATGATAACACCTTTCTCTAAACTGTGGTTTTACCCGTGCACGCGCGCGCACGCGTGTGTGTGTGTGTGTGTGTGTGCTGTTTGGCTCCTTCTTGCAGCGTCGCCCAGCACATGGCCCACGCCGCAGATGGAAGGACTGTGCTGTCCGGGATCTACGTGCCCGTGGCGTGGAGGCATCATGGTATGATGTTGCATGTGAGTCTCGCGCGGAGTGGCGCAGCACCTACCAAGAGCCTGACAATGTGCCTGAGCCTCCGCCCCGAGTGGTATGTACGGTATGCGGACGGGATTTTGCACGGAAAGAAGACTCGTGACATGGCTCGGCATAAGTGTCTGGAGGAGCGTGCGCGGCCTGTGTCTGAGCAGCGGGGCGCCAGTCAGTGCGGGCGGTGTGGGCGGTGGCTGAGAAGCCGCGGTGGCTTGGTCCGGCATGTGTGTGCCTCAACGGTGGATGCCGCAGTGCCACCTGGAACTACCGGAACGTCGGCACCGGCGGAGGGATGTTGTGCCGCGCATTGTGACGGGTGTGGTCGCTGCTTTCGCGGTGTCCGGGGACGGGGAAGGCATCGCTGTTCAAGGGTGGCGCATAGACCAACAGCAGAGGAGCGCTCAGCCTTCCAGCACGTGTGCATATGCGGCAAGCGGATGCGACTACCCGTGCACCTGGAGCGTCATCGAGCGTCGTGTCCTCTCTCTCTCTCTTCTCAAGTTTCCCAGTGATGGGATCACGTGACCCTTTTGCGGCAGTGACTCTACAGGACAGGACAGGACAGTGTGTGTGTGTACATGTACTGTGTATGTGTGTGGTGTGTGTGTGAATCCCCTATTATATCCCAGAGCTCTTGGCCTCTGGCCCTTCTCCATCAAAATGTAATATTATGTACTTGATTCAGAGCTAGAGACATTTCCAAGTGATGGGCAGTGCCCAGTCCCTGACTGCCCAGAGACGAGAGATATGAGTGTTCATAACAGTTATAGGCCATTCACACGACGGCCAAACTTACTTTTATCGTACTGTTTGCAAGGATATTTACTCGGATACGATAAACTTGGACACCCGCGTGCAACTGATTTTTTATCTTGGCCGAGGCCCTTTTGCTCGCGATTATCTTTGCACGCCAGGAAAAGTGTCGGTTGTTGAAAGTGCGTACTGCAAATGCAGTGCTTGAACAAGGGAAAATTCAAAATTGAACATTTCCCGGCATTTTCAGGAGGTCACTATGGATACATTGACGGTTGCAAAGTTTGCCCAGCACCGTGTGAACTGGATCACGGTTTGCCAGTGTTATCTTGGTCACACACGTGCAAATGTTTACACGTCGTGTGAATGGCCTATTACAGGTGACTCTTGCCCAGGGCCGCATGATCTGACACCATGAGCCTTGGCTCTGCTTTCGGCTCACGCTTTTGGATTTCTTTGGCCACAACTGTACTCGACATGACAGTACAGTATACATTATCCATATAAAAATCGCTCTGTGAGCGGTTCTGAAAAACCTTTACTGGTACTGCCCGTCGTAAAAGTAAGAAATTAGAACTGGCCCATTGTCCCCCCAAATGCGAACTGATCCACCTAAATCGCGAATGACGGGACCCGAACGCACCAGTAGCACGAGGTCGGGAGGGCACAGGATCACGGCAATTATCATAGGGTAACACCAGTAGTAGCAGTAGAATTTATTATTTTGATAGGGAAGCCTACCGCTAGTACAGTACATGGCCTATGGTCCGGACCAACGTCCCCATCTGCATCCACAGGTAGGAACCTCGTGCTACTGGTGCGTTCGGGTCCCGTCATTCGCGATTTAGGTGGATCAGTTCGCATTTGGGGGGACAATGGGCCAGTTCTAATTTCTTACTTTTACGACGGGCAGTACCAGTAAAGGTTTTTCAGAACCGCTCACAGAGCGATTTTTATATGGATAATTTCAGCTCTTTTTCCGTTCCCTCCCCACCCCAACCCCGAAGGTAAACATGATGACCACGCGCGCGATGTACTGTATGTAGCCATGCGACTGCAATAACACACTGATACATACCAGCCCTCCCCGCCTCGCTACCCCGCAGACAGATACACAAACATGTGTATGCACACGGCACACACACGTGGCCACGCACACATACGCACATGCACACGACACAAACAGGAAATTCTTCATGTATAATGCCATGCAAAGCAGTGGCCACCGTACTTGAGGAAGTCAGTTGTTAAAAAAAAATTATTCAACTACAGCGTGTAGACAAGCTGACGGCCAAAGCACAACATAGCAAACATGACATTTGCCCAAGGATTGCAGTTTGCAGACCATGCCATGGAAGCAGCGAATACAGAATGTAATATCATACAAAGTGACAAGCAAGGATGTGGCCATCATACACCAGAAACTTGCAGAAAGTCACATATCCAACAGATAGAGAAGTGAACAGCAATCTGATACAGCCCACACAGGACAAAGCGGACCTGATACTCGTCCCAGGATCGCAAGTGGCAAACCCTTTTCAATGCATAACATGCAGGTGTACGTTAGACGCATGAACATCTGACCGTGTCGCCAGCATACAATGTCATCACATGTTTACCCCACAAGTTACACACATGCACAGTAGAAGCACAATGAAAGCAATAGAAAAGTACGATGTGGTTGCTGAAGCATCTTCACACTTCAAATTCAGACTTCAATGTGGTCGTCACGGGATGATATACCTGCAAGATACAAGTGATGAAGAAAGAAAGCAGAAGGTCGTGAGGTAGGCTATGAGACACCACAAACGGTTCACCTACATGTCTGTTCAGGGCTAGTGCACTCACACGGAGAATTGTCATAATCGAGCATTTCCCAAACTGAGAAGTGCAATGAAATCCACTTGCATGCACAGGAGCAATTTTGCAATAATATGATGCGCAATTCGACACGATCTGCGATGCTGCGTGCGATGTGCCCTGCTGTCATGATAGTGACAGTCACCGCGGTATGTTTTGTCAACGTCGCCCGTGCACTCTTCTGTCAAGTCCAAAGTGCTCACATACTTGGCAATGTTTTTGCAGTGATTAACTTTTATCCTAGTTATGTCACGGGTAACTTTAATGAAGTACCCGCAGGCCGTGTCGATCTGCACATCGTCCACTCTCTCATGTACTTGGCCTGCTTTGTCTGTGTATTCATTTCATGTGCGATCCACAAAATCGACTAGACAGTGGGTGCAATACGCTCTCTACCTGAAGACGTTCTTCTGGCGACATCTCGCCATGTACTTGGCCTGGCTTTGTCTGTGTATCCATTTCATGTTCGATCAACAAAATCTCAATGTACTACAGAGACTAGACAGTGGGTGCAATACGCTCTATCTGAAGACGTGAACCATTAAATTTTTGGAAAAGTTATACGTACACCTGAAACGTAATGAAGTACAGGAATAGAGAGAGTGACCTGGTGACTACAATACGCTCTCGACCTGATATAGTGATAACGTGAGTACAAGACACTCTCCACCTGATAACGTGTTAGAAGGTAACATGTCTACAGTCCCACCGTACCCTTCCGACACGACTGTAGACCATTAAATTTTTTTGAGAAGTTATACGTACACCTTAAACGTAATGAAGTACAGGAATAGAGAGAGTGACTACAATACGCTCTCGACCTGATAACGTGAGTACAAGACACTCTCCACCTGATAACGTGTTAGTAGAAGGTAACAGGTCTACAGTGCATTTCAAAACTATAGACGCGTAGGGTTTTTGAAATATTTCAAATTTGGCTGGAACTTTTTGAGAATAGTTTTCGGAATATTGCTCAGGATCGCCCCACAATTACTCTCATTATAGTTTCTAAAGGATTGGATAACAGACGCCCAATTTGGAAAAAATGTATGCACAAAGTGATCACAGATTTTATGTGGTATAGATGCTGGCATAACGGTTTTTGCCTAGGTACGCGTCTATAGTTTTGAAATGGACTGTACAGTCCCATCATTCCTCATTCACCATCGCGCGATACCCTGGCACACACTGGCAACATACCGTATCAATGGGGTGCCTTACCGTCGTCTAGAGGAGACGTCTTCGCAGCAATATTTTCCCTCCTGCGCATTCAGTCGCCGACGCGACAGCGTTCACGGGGCCGTTCCAGTTGCGGAAGACATTCGATTCATCGGGCCAATTCAGCAACAGGGCCGTGGACACACAGGGGGCAGAGGAGAGACATTGTTAGTGGACAAGAAATATGCAGTGGCAAGTGGCGAGTGCCGCATGGATGTCAAGTTGTCATGCACAATTCAGCTATTACTTACGGTCCAGCTAGTCCTGCCATTGCTCGCTCGTCCTGGTTCCTCCTCGTTCGTCTTCCTGCACGTCTGCACTTCTCCTTCCCCACCGTTGGCTTTGCGGTACGGGGGTGCCGGAAGGAATTCCCACCATGTATCCATGTACATGAAGTCCCACCATGACTCTCCATGCAAGTTTGTATAGTACCGGAAGGAGTTCCCACGATGTCTCCAAAGGCCTAGAGCGGACGTCTTTGCAGCAATTCTTTTCGCCCTGCGCATTCAGTTCGCCGACGATGTCTCCAAAGGCAAAGGCCTAGAGCCTAGTAGAGGGGACGTCTTTGCAGCAATAGGGCTTGAAAGTGATGACGTCAAAACGGCCAGGGAGTAGTAAGTTGACATCAGATTTCTATTTTTGGATCCACTAAGGTGTGACTTTGCTATTGCCTAAGTATGTGGGTGCATAGCAACCCACTCATGTCGCATGCAGGTGTGACTTTTATTTCGCCACCAGTTGTAATCCCGCCCCCAGTAGCCAAATCAGTCAGTTTCACTGGCTACATCACCATGCTGTGGGTAAGACCGCTTGAAATGTGCTTGGATCCATACAAAAACTGGATCCAAGTGGATCCAGTTTTTGAATTTTTGAAATTGTTGCTATGCTGTGATGTAGCACTTTCAAGCCCTATTCTTTTCACCCTAGTACCCTGCACATTCACTCCGCCGACACGACAGCGTTTACGGGGCCGTTCCAGGTGCAAAAGGTCCACGTCAGCAGTTCTCAACTATTTCGCGTACGGGATAGTCGCCGCGACAGCGTTTAAGGGGTCGTTCCAGGTGCAAAAGGTATCCATCAATGGCACTTTGCAGTATGGGGTACGGAAAAGGGGCCTCCTCGTTCGACTTCGTCGACTTCTGCAGTTCTCCTTCCCGTCAGGGGTACCGAAAGGGGCCTCCTCGCAGTTGTCCTTGCCGTCAGGTCCACGTCATGCAATTCTCAACTATTTCGCGTACGGGATAGTCGTCTTTGTCGTACGCGACATCGGCGTTTACCGAGTGGCATTGGCACAAAGCAGACCGTTGACGGGGTCACGTGTCAAAAAAGTATCAGCAACGTGTCGACTAAGTGTCGACCACGTGTATAGCGGTACACTCAGCGGTACACTAATTCTCGTGCCATTCTCGTGTCACAAAACTGGAACATCGAGTACCAGTATGGAAAGGCTTCAGACAGGAAGCCTTTCCAATGTACTCAAGCCAAAGCTTCACTGAGTGGTCACAACTGAGACATGGCATGATCAAGCAGCGCTGCAGAATGTTGCACATCGTTTTCAAGGCGTCAGGTTGGGACGTTAGAGGGGTCCGGAGTACGATTTTCCGTGCCAAAATCCGTCGAGGCGCTATGGTTTTTTATACGTCGTTTTCGAGTAGTGAAATGATCCGGAGTACCTGGAGAATGGAAATAATGTGTTTGCCGGTGTACTATTAGAATGACCCCCCAGCAGATGGACCCCCCCCCCCCCCGATATGAGCCGTCAGATGCGAAAACCGACCTTATGCCATGCACAGTGTCTGCACTGTGGGATTGGATTGGATTAAATAAACCAATCCAATCCAATCCCACAGTGCAGAAAAATGCAGTTGAAAGTTGGCGAGTTTACGCACTGGTGCGCCTGGACAACCAAGCTACAAACCGTCGTATTTCAGTCAAATATCGGTCTTTCGGGATAATCCAAGTATGTAAATCGAAGAGAAAACTCCAAGCAGGAATCCAATGCAGCAAGCGCGATCGCGGCACGATGCTGCGTTCCCCAGCTAGCTACGAAGCCTGCAAGACACGTCACCATGGTCACGGCACTTTGCATTTCTACGTGCAAATCAAACGATCCAGACCAGGGGTTTCCCCCTTTTCAAGTGCCCTACGATCTCAGCAACAGGCTTCAGACGTCTTGGAAGCTCTCAGTGCATCTTCACGAAAAAAATTGGGCGTCCTGGGATAATGGAGATGGAAATGGCGAGCGATCTTCGTGTGACGGCGCAAGTCCAGCGCTGAAGCGATGTCTGCAGCTTGTTGCGCTGGTGCTGTGCTTTATTTGCTATCGGATTTGGGCCAAACGGGTTGCTCGTCGCCAGAGCTTTCCAGAAAGCCCAAGTTTGTGGAAATCGGTCAAAGGAAACAGGAAATATTCTCCAAAGTATGTAAAACAATTGTTGGTATTGCACCCAAAATTGAGATGCAATTTGTAACGGTCTCCTATTGTAGAGGCTATAACTTTACTTCCCTTGGTCCAAATCAACTCTAGTTTTTTGCATACGACTCCTGATGCTCCTAGCTTTCAGATAATATCACTAGCACCAAGAGTACATAACTACTCTTGCTAGCACAAATATGAATTTTTTCCCATAAGGTCTGTTTTCGCATCTGACGGCTCATATAGTAGAGTGACCCCGGGGTCACTCTACTATACAATGCCCGGGGGGTCGTTCTACTATAATAGTAGATTGCCCCCTGTCATTCTACTTCAGAGTCCACCAGACTTGTCGTTTCGCACGTGCAGGTAGAAAGGGATGGAGTTTACACCACAGATTCCACGTGGACATTATGGATTGTGGCAAGAGTCCGGGGTTATGTACTCTTGATTGTGGGAATATGTGGTGAAAAGTCCACAACATTTGTACATAGGTCGCGCACTTTTCCTCTTTAGGAGACATGAACATCCCACCTTGTGTTGGATTGTTTTTGTTTTGGAGTTGGAAGAAGGTTTGCAAGTTCAGTGTTCCTTTGCGTTTTCTGTGTGCTCCTTGCTCCTTTTGGATTATTGTGTGTGTGATAGGTGCATTGATATTAAAACAGAGAGGTTCCAGGCTGTCCAAGAGAGTGCTCAATACCGAGTGGTAGAGCAACAAAAGCAAAAGGTGCAACCTGTGCCTGGCAGAGAAATTGGCAATCGCGCAAGCACCCAAGCACCTCTCTCTCAACAAAAGGAGTGAGCTTGTGTCGAAGTGTCGAGAATAGGTACTACCTTCGGAACTTAGCGGCCAGGGGGATCGTTGTACTATATAGTAGAGTGACCCCGGGCCCGGGGGGGGGGCAATCTACTATAATTATAGTACAATGACCGGGGGGCCTTCCACTACGGGGGTCATTCTACTATATGACACCGGCATTCCCTAGGTTACGATCGCAAACACATCATATTCCCGTGTTATGCCTTAATATTTTGAAAATTTGTACCAAAACAAAACTTCCCGTGAAAAATCGAGGTTTCTCGTACCAAATTTGTACGCGAACCTTTCTGCTCTCGATGACGCAAAATCTCTATAATAAAAATAATGAAACATGGTTCGTAGATCTATGAACTAAAAGCCAGCCGGCCACACACGTACACTGTGACACAGATTCTCGGTGCCGGAAAATCGTGTAAAGCTAGCACGCCTCAAAAATCCGTAGTGCCCATCAGGGAGTAGTACAATACTGTACTACTCCCTGGTGCCCATACGGATTTTGGCACAGAAAACCGTACCGTAGGAATCAGTACGAATTGAGCCAGAGTGCTGAAAAATAAGAACGTCTTTGTGGTCCACTTCACAACAATAACACACACAGAAGTCTCTGCTGTGAGCACGGTGGCTCGGCAATGGCTTTATTATTGATATTATTATATCTCCTTCCTGATATTTTTTTTTTTCTTTTCTTTTTTTTGAATAATTGTACCCATAGGGCCTGATATCATAAGAAAAATTAGCACAAGACACTGCTGCTACTATAGTCGCACAGCAAAACACACAGAAAACGACAAAATGTTACAATGAATGTAACAACACCCGTCCAAGATAAAGGACCGACATCCCTGCCCCAGGACGGCATCTCGAACCCCCCACACACTCACCACACGGTCATCATCCAGCTTCAGTTCAATCACTGTATTCTTCCCCTGCAGACTCAACCCCCCTGTCACTAGCCATACAATCTGAAGCTGTATGTAACCATACAATGGCCCACGACGCACACACCACCCCTAAGTTTTTTAACTAAAAAAGAAAAGCAGTCGTAACTGCAAAAGCCACATGGCCAATAAGAAAAACCAATACGATAAAACATCGATAAACACACACCCAGAAGTCAGGGGTGGGAGGGTGGGATACAAACTGCACCAACGAAAAGCCACTGCGAAGTGACAGGAATGCGGTCCAGCACAACATTTTTGCGGACGCAAAAAGTTGTGGGGAAATCCCAAAATCGGTGCGATTTTGCATGAGCCCAAATGTTCAGGTTACCCACAAAGACACAAGCTTTCCAACTCTCTTTGGCCGTTGGAAAGCGTACCGTCTTTGTGGTCCACTTCACAACAATAACACACACAGAAGTCTCTGCTGTGAGCACGGTGGCTCGGCAATGGCGACAGAAAAGGATAGCCCTGGGTACATGCCTTGCCATATACTCTGTGTTACCTGTCAAATTGTGTCATCCGATTCGCCTGCATAGCGCTTGCATAGATTCCCAATATTTGCCAATACGAGGTTTGGATTCGTCCAGTAAGGCAGACTGCACTATCCATGTTCCTGAACAACACTCTCATTAACATCCTACTCACGCAGCATCTATAGAAAACAGCTCTCGGCCCTGGTATACGTCATAGAGATGTAAAGGCCATGGTAAGTGCCAAGCATGTGTCTCGCCATACAATGGCTGGCCCAGCTGCTGATGTGATCATGCCAAAATGTCTGTATATAGGCCACAGTCCATACTGTACGGTCAGGGCATTGACTCGGTAGGTACCAAATGGCCCCCCTGAACCCAGGCATCTTAGTGCTCTTCAGACCACTGCGATAGCCACACAACTGAGCGCAAGATTAAGACAAGATATGTCACTTCCGTGCCCAACGCCTCCACCTGTGGAAACATACAAGTCACAGAAGCGAAGCACAAACACAACACACAACTGCAGGCCAAAGAGGTACTGTACTGTATTTCTCACTAATTCCCCGACGGTACTCACACCCATCAAACTGTGCCACTTTGGCAATATTTCTCTCACTCGTTTCCCAAAGGCATTCACACCCATGAAACTGCGGCATCAGCTCTCTCTTCCTCTCTCTCTCTCTCTCTCTCTCTCTCTCTCTCTCTCTCTCTCTCTCTCTCTCTCTCTCTCTCTCTCTCTCTCTCTCTCTCTCTCATTACCCGAAGGCATTCACACAGACCAAACTGTGCCACTGCAGCATTAGCTCTCTCTCTCTCTCTCATTACCCGAAGGCATTCACACAGACCAAACTGTGCCACTGTGGCATTAGCTCTCTCTCTCTCTCTCTCATTGCCCGAAGGCATTCACACCCACCAAACTGTGCCACTGCGGCGTTAGTTCTCTCTCTCTCATTGCCCGAAGGCATTCACACCCACCAAACTGTGCCACTTCGGCAATATCTCAGTGCCACTGCGGCATTAGCTCTCTCTCTCTCTCACTCATTGCCCGAAGGCATTCACACCCACCAAACCGTGCCACTGCGGCATTAGTTCTCTCTCTCTCATTGCCCGAAGGCATTCACACCCACCAAACTGTGCCACTTCGGCAATATCTCGGTGCCACCGCGGCATTAGTTCTCTCTCTCTCATTGCCCGAAAGCATTCACACCCACCAAAACTGTGCCACTTCGGCAATATCTCCGTGCCACCGCGGCATTAGCTCTCTCTCACTCATAGCCCGAAGGCATTCACACCCACCAAACTGTGCCACTTCGGCAATATCTCGGTGCCACCGCGGCATTAGTTCTCTCTCTCTCATTGCCCGAAAGCATTCACACCCACCAAAACTGTGCCACTTCGGCAATATCTCTGTGCCACCGCGGCATTAGCTCTCTCTCTCTCTCACTCATTGCCCGAAGGCATTCACACCCACCAAACCGTGCCACTGCGGCATTAGTTCTCTCTCACTCATAGCCCGAAGGCATTCACACCCACCAAACTGTGCCACTTCGGCAATATCTCTGTGCCACCGCGGCATTAGCTCTCTCTCTCTCACTCATTGCCCGAAGGCATTCACACCCACCAAACTGTGCCACCGCGGCATTAGTTCTCTCTCTCTCTCTCATTGCCCGAAGGCATTCACACCCACCAAACTGTGCCACTGCGGCATTAGCTCTCTCTCTCTCTCTCATTGCCCGAAGACATTCACACCCACGAAATTGTGCCACTGTGGCATTAGCTCTCTCTCTCTCTCTCTCTCTCTCTCTCTCTTCATTGCCCGAAGGCATTCGCACCCTTCACACTTCTGAGCCGCACTGGGGCTCTCTTACAGTTCACTGACAAGGGCAAAGTAAGAATAGGATACCAGATATACGGTAATCGGCTACACAACTATTTCACACTTTTCGGTGTTTGTCTCCTTCATGCTCGTTACTCCTTATTCATGCTTCCGCAGGTTCCCTTGTCTCATTTATGCTCGTTATTCATTATTCATGTTTCCGGCTTTCCGCAGGTACCCTTGTCTCATTCATGCTCGTTATTCCATATTCATGCTTTCGTAGGTACTCAACTATTTCACACTTTTCGGTGTTTGTCTCATTCATGCTCGTTATTCATTATTCATGCTTCCGCAGGTACCCTTGTCTCATTCATGCTCGTTATTCCTTATTCATGCTTTCGTAGGTACCCATATACCTTATAATGGATTCTGTTTTTCATGTCCATGGATCATAGTGATGTTTCATCACTGGTTTAGCGGCAAAGCACCGAGAATTATGAGTAAATACATCCCTTGCACACAAATTGCATGACCCACCAGGCCCCTACATTATACTCATCCGCTTGTAAGAAGCTCGTTGCATGGCCTGACCACTCATTCAATGCAAAATGAACACCTTAAGCCCAAAACAGACATTGTTTATCATCATGTACACTTGCCTGATGGATAATTCAGCCCAGGTGGTATCTGAGGGGATTTATATGCCCTCGGCACAGGTGTGGCTGTAAAGCATCTCACTTGTCAGATTGCCGCTGTGGGCGATTCCAGCTTTTTCTTGGTGGCTGCCAAGAACTCGGCTAGCCTCCTCTGCTGCAATACCGCTACTGAGAATAGGAGGCGGCCACATCAAATCCATCCACTTCCGCGCCACTCAAATATTGCAGCATCTCTGCCATCATGGTTTGATCATTCTCCACGGCCTCCAGACTTAGATTGACGCCGGCTCTCACACTACGCCCGAACATCTTGCTGCTTGTGCAGAAGTTGCTTGCTGAGCGGTCGGGGTGTTGCCGCTACTTACTGGAACCCCGGAACCTTTTGTGAAAATCTCTCCACTCATTCACGCGGCCAAAGAGCCCATGCAGGGGCAGCACTGTGAGGTACATCCATTATTACCGTGATGTGAGATAACTCGCTGGCTAGTTGCAGCTGGCAACATGCGCAACTGAATGCAGTACGCGACATACGGGTACCGACCGACCGACAAAGCTGGCATATACGGATGACCACCAGCAGGAAAATTAGTGGCTGACTGGCTGTGAAGGGCGAATATGGGTGCCCAGCAACATACTGCATTGTGAACAATGTACGAGTGATTACTTATACATGGTCGATGGTTTTACATGTTGACTGACAAACAGCAACATTCACCAGGCCTGCAGCAGATGCCACAATGGTTGGCTGACCAGCTGCACTGGACGAATCATTTGGCAGATTCTCCGCAGATAATACTGTATGTGACGGACTAGAAGTAGTAGCAATGGCCAAATTTGGCATATTCGCAGCAGATGACACTGGATTTGGCTGATAAGACGCAGCAACAAAGTTGGCTGGACAGCATCAATGGACAAACTTGGCAGCCCCGCTGTAGATCACACTATTATTTGGATGAACACTCGCAGCAGGCCGGCCGTACGTAACAATGACATGCTTGGCCGGCAGTTGACGTCCAGGGATCTAGCTGTTCAGCAGCAGAGGTAAAAACGGCCGAAGCTGAAGAAAAACTAACCTGCCTACGCCCCGGCAGGGTGAATATTTGACTTGCCAACATAAAACAGCCAAGAAATCGTTCAATCACGTCTTCCCTCTGACCACCAGCATCGATTTTCTTTCCTGCTGTAAAGCTACAGTTGAAGCCCTGTTCTCGTCGAAAGAGCACTCTTCCATGATCATGTCAGACCCAAAATGTCATAGAACTCCAAAATACAAACTGCACCAACGAAAAGCCACTGCGAAGTGACAGGAATGCGGTCCAGCACAACATTTTTGCGGACGCAAAAAGTTGTGGGGAAATCCCAAAATCGGTGCGATTTTGCATGAGCCCAAATGTTCAGGTTACCCACAAAGACACAAGCTTTCCAACTCTCTTTGGCCGTTGGAAAGCGTACCATTCCAGGCTAACCTCTTGCTGCTTGAAAACAGCATGCATGGGCGCGCAACTCTACTGTAATCTGGCTCTGTCCTTACCAGGACTCAGGAGTACATGACTATACTACGTATTGACTGAGTACGAGGTCAATAGGAAATAAAAGCCGAGTAAAAGACCGAAAAAAAAGCCGAGGTCTTTTACGAGGTTTTTATTTCCTATACAGTATACCAAGAGTACATAACTACACAACTTCCTCTTTCAGCTGCAGCTCACAGCAACGAAGTTCAGCATACTCCGGACCCAACTGGTTGAGGTGACGGCGGACATCATCAACGGACACTCTGCAGGGCTCTTGGGCTTCAGTTCGTGAAGCTGAGTACGACAAAAATACCCGTTTGGGTGCAGGAACAAACTTGGAAATTCCCAAAGAAGACGCAAGGCGTTTTGGGGTTTGCTCGTTGCTCGTACTGCAAACTTGTAAACAAGAAGCCCGAGGAGAAAGAGGAGGAGAGGGAGTATTACTAGCGTCAGAAACAGGAAGAGTAGCGTCCAGTCCTGAAGCAGGAGTCTCCATTCTCCGTCACTACACTCTTCCTTCCTGAAACAGTTCTCAACAAGAAATAATAAATCAATTATTTTGCCTTTTGGACATGTTTCTTCACCACGAAGGACACGTCGCGTCACGCGTCAGTGAAAAAAGAAAGAACAGAAAAGTGGCGCAGTTTTCCACCATTTCCTTTCCACGGCTTTTTCGTGTTTGGCCGGTTTCAGTCAGTTAAAATCGAATTTCCCCATCGCGAAACTCTGCCCTCACTCTGCCGTCTTGCGCGTCTGGCGCCAGTTTGTGGGCCAAAGTGCGATCCGAACGACCGAAGACTGCAAAACATCGCGCACGCCGCGCACCATGCAGTTGAACTAGGAATTCCGATGAACCAGATCCCATGGCATGAGTGGAGTTGCACACTCTTGTGTAGTTATGTACTCTTGAGTATACTGACCAAGTACGAAGTCAATATTAGATTTATCACGACAAGCAGTAAGTATTTCAAATTCCAGAACGGTAACCTCATGAATCCCGGTTTTATGATTGCACAACCGTTGCACCACCACCTACTCATGCAGTGACAATGCTGAACTAGGCACCGTTCAACTGTGCAACCCCTAAAGCAGTCAATACGAGTACAGCCCTATTGGAGTGAAATATGCAGGAATATTTGACTGCTTAGATATAGCGAAAATCAACGGGAGTCAATACTACAGTGCATTTCAAAACTATAGACGCGTAGGGTTTTTGAAATATTTCAAATTTGGCTGGAACTTTTTGAGAATAGTTTTCGGAATATTGCTCAGGATCGCTCCACAATTACTCTCATTATAGTTTCTAAACGATTGGATAACAGATGCCCAATTTGGAAAAATTTATGCACAAAGTGATCACAGATTTTATGTGATAGATGCTGGCATAACGGTTTTTGCCTAGGTACGCGTCTATAGTTTTGAAATGGACTGTAAGGCAGTACTCTTGTTCTTACATACTAGATTGCTCGTTCACCAATGTCCTTCAGCATGTGACTCCTCTGAAGTCTTGAGGACACCGAACAGCCAGCAGATGAGGAACACTCCGTCTCATGACCCTACTTACCCCCCCCCCCCCCACACACACACAGACTGCGAAAGAAATGGGCACCGGAAAACACTACTCAATTTCTGTCAACGGCAAAATAAAAATGTACATGATAAATTGGCAACAAAGACCATCAAGCCGACGCGCCAACAGTCAAAATAATAATCGATACGGTTAGAATGGTCGGGGTGAAGGGTAGAGTCGCAAGAGCGACAGTTAAACTTGTGACATTTTGTGACATCGATACCAAATAACGGTGACGAAGGGCATGAGTAGCAAGAAGAGGTGGTACATGACAACGCAACACAGCCTAAACACAAAAAAGACAGAAACAAAAGCAAAGACGGCGATGGGAAGTAGAATAGTGCGTGAGGAAGTTGAAGATCAAGAAAGATACGGGCGCACATGGGAGAGAGGGAAACAAGAGATAGTGGGTAGGAATAGAAGTTGAAGCGATCCAGACCAACACGAGATCTAGTTTACAAAAGAATGTAGGTGTTGTTGTTGTTGATGATCGAAGATAGAGGGACCATGAGCCACGCCAAGCAAGAGCACATGCATGCATTCATGATCGCCGCCGAGACCAAGCCAAAGGGCGACCACAATGATGCTGTGATGTGGGCAGAACAGATGGAAAATATTTTGGGAGAGTGAGAGGATTGATGTCGACAACGTTGCAAAGTTTTGAATTCAGCATCACAACTCCTGCTAGTATATAAAAGATGACAAGGATAAGGCATTGATGGGAACGCCAAAAATTATTGATGGAAAAATGGGCTACTCATGGTAAGAGAGCTAAAGTGCCCCTCCGGTGCTGCTGGAAGAAGCCGACGACAGCTGATGCCACTGAACTAGGTTGACAGATAATTCATGTAGCGTCACTAATGCAGTCTTGCTGCTGCTGTTAGTGCTGCCATGACAAGAATAGAGATTACGCCTGAGCTCCAGAGTCAGCTGAACCCTCACCAACATCCTGTCAAACATAAAAGAGAGGAAAGCAAAAAAAAAGGTAACATAAGAATGTTGATAAAAACATGGATGTGTGCACTCGCACACACACTCCCTCATATTTTAATGGGCACTTTGATTACTGTAGAGGCAGAAAAATTCGTCGGTCGATAATTTCGTCCAACTCCAAAGAAAGGGAGTTCGTCCGGTTTTAAATTTCGTCCATGGACAATAAGAGTGTATTGAAAAGCTGGACAAATCGACATTCGAAAAAGACGAAATTAAATTCCAGACGAATATTTCTGCTTGTACAGTACATTTGTTTAGGGCTGAAACAATAATACCGATTACCTGCATATCGATCGTTAACCCTTTGCCGGTCTAACTCAATGTATGTGAGGGGTGGTCACGCAAACACATGTACACACAACCAGCAATAACTCAAGAACCATGTGATGTAGGTATGGGTAAACCATATATTTTCAAAATCTGTATGCCTGAACGCGTCCAGAAAATTCAAATATGACTAGGTCCAGGCAAGGATAGGGCCCATGGTAGCCCTTCAAGTTGAGAGAAAATACAATTGCGAATGAAATACACGAATATCACAGCACGAAGGGCATACCAAGTTCGTGATGGAGCTGAAGTCGTACGATAAACAATCAGGTAAGGGCTACGTCTTTACAAGAAATGTAGGCTCTCTACAATACCGCCATTGAACACCAACACCTCGCCATCGGCGATACGCCAGCAGCAGCAATTCCCATTGCACGATATCGCAGTTTCGTTTTGTTCATCTCAGCGCTGCTCGCGTCAGATTCACTCTCGCTCAGATGAGTACTCAGGCGCGAGCTTACGCATGCCGTGATTCTCACGGCCAGGCGAATCAGCTGAACGCACCTGACGAGTCCTTGTGACAGTCGCTGTCGCCGTGTCGGCAGCAAGAAGGCTTCCTCTCTGTTTGGAGAATTTTGTTTCTTCATTCGTGGACGATATATTTTTGAACTAGCAGGACTCAACGGAGCTCTTTTTCTCAACACACTACACTGCAAAACCTCCCGGGACATCCAGCCTGGACTAGTGATGTTACTGCTCTCAGAGCGCTTGTCAAACACGGCCCCAAGAGATGCACTCGCATTCTTGAAATGCGTGCATGGCGGATGGTCGTCTTTTCCAATTTCAACAAACTTCAGTCGATCGATACGGTAAAAATTTGTATGGTAAGCATGGTTGTTTTGCACATCGTCAGAAAGCCTTGGACCTCAGCTACGCGTAGAGCGCCATTTTAGCTGTCTCCTAGCAACAAGACCCCAAAAAAACGAGGGCCAAACGTACCGATACTATAGTATCGGTACGCTTATGGTAGACCGGTAAAGGGTTAAGAGTGCAATCGATACTCGGAAAGGCCGATTCACAGTACAACTTTCTGCGACGCGACACGCGATTTGCGACAAGAAACTGCGACATGCAACGCGCGACATACACAAATGGAGTGTAGTTTCTACCATGGGCCATGGGGTGCACGTGCAGTGCACGTTCAATGTACGTGCATAGTACTACTAGTGCATAAAGCTGTCGCAAACATGAAAAAGATTGTGAACCGTGTGTTGTTGTCGCAGCTTGTCGCAAGTCGCGTCGCAAGAAGTTGTATTGTGAATCGGCCTTAAGTGTTCAAAACGAGTGCTAACGATTTTTATGCATGCACATCAGTGACAAGGTTCTAGCCCTTGCACTCCATACGATAGTGAATGCGAGTGCTATCATGTACTGTCAAGCGCAGTAAAATCGATGTGTGGCTTTGAAAGAGATCGGGAGAGAAGACTGCCTTTTCGGTTCATTTGTGGGAGAGGTCGGAGATAAGAGCAGTTGCCAGAAGGTGATGACAATATTCTTCGTTCTAGAAACAACATGAAATTTTCTAGTTCATGTTCTAACGTAGCAAAGGTATCGTGGAATTTCTTCATAAACTGGTGTTCGAGGCACACGGGTAGAGCCGGCAAGAATCGATAAAACCAATATATCGATCGTTATTGAATGATCGTTTCAGCCCTACAAATTTTGTACAATTTTGTTGAATGACCAGGATAAGCTGGTTTCAGCCACATAAATAAGCTCATGGTGATCGCTACGCTTTGTTTTTACCTAGGTCATCATGCATGTAATTTGAACTGCTAGAAACGTCTTTGCAATACGAATCGGGTACAAGTACACATCCCAGTGGCCAACTTGCACTACATAGAAAGCAGTAATACGAGTACACACACTGTTGGGAAACACCATACTAGACACCCTTAGCTAAAAACGTTATGTTGTAACGGTATTACCGTAAGGGGAAAATACTGTGATTTGGGTTCGACCGTTAGCAAGATATACACGCTATTTCTAGTACGCTGTAGCCACGAGAAAAGCTTTTAATTCGCGGTACAACCATTTATGTCACCATATACGCGATACAAGGTGAAATGCGTACGGACTATGCAATATTTGGCCAAAAAACGTTCCGTTTGTCACAACGATAAATCAGCCCCCATAACGTTTTTATGCTGCAGCTTCAGCACTATTTGGGTGATCAAGGTACGAGTGCCGTAAAAATAGCGTTACCGTTGTTTGCTAAGGGTGTCTACTGCAATGAGGTTTGTCCTATTTTTCAAGTACAGTATACTGCGCCTGAAGTTCTTCAGACCTCTGACACCACCATTTGTACAGTGATCCTCGATGAAATCCAGTTGTGTCACACAAGTATGCGCTGGGCGTTACGCAGCCCTAGATCTGTGAACACTGGGCTGCGAAATGATGCAAGGTGCACACTTGAGTGATGCGACTGGATTTCATTGAGCAACACTGCACAAATGTCGGTGTCAGAGGCCTCAGGAACTCCAGGCGCAACTTAGATGAGCAGTCTCAAACAGAGTACACACTCCAGTGCCTTCCAGGAGTAATCCACCTCTTGGTGCCTGCTTTCCCCAATGAAATTAAAGTTACACTGAAGTAATGTGTCATGCAATACCACATGTGTATGTAGCTTCAGATGTGTAGCTGGTGCGCAGAGGCATCCAGTACCAAGAGTGGAATGAATTCGAAAATGGACGCATAAGCCTCCACCGGCACAGGACGACTGCCACATATACCCACTACATGCTACGCAAAGCTGGAGATGGGCGCGCCCGTTTGGATCAGATAAACCCAATCAGTCAACTATAGTTAAACAAATAACGTACCGTATTATCTCTAATATAAGCACGGTCCTTTATTTTTTCAATGTACCTCCGCCCCGTGCTATTAATGGGGACGTTCCTTTATTGGAGACTGTTCCATTATTATTTCAACCTCATTTCAGAGGCATGTTGCCATGCCAAATTCATGTATGACACACACATTTCAGGGTTTTTTTTGCCGGTACAGATAATGAATTGACACAGTGTGCTTATAATGGAGACTGAGCACTTTATTTTTCGAATGCCGCCCCAAGGTGTTCTATTATTGGAGACGTGCTATTATTGGAGACTGTGCTTATATTAGAGATAATACGGTACGTGGAGACACCAAGTTAATCAGAGCTATAAAAAGTATGAATGCCGCAGACATCACCACGCAACACAAGTTGTCACGTTGCGTGGTGATGTCTGATGCATTCATGCTGTTTATAGCTCTAGTCAACTGTAATTCCTCACTTTTATAAGTCGTTTTGGCACAGAAATACAATTCCAGCATACAGGCACTTAAAGGGGCACTTCGGGAATTTTTTCGGTGGTGTGTTCTCTTCATGGGGGCCTCATACGGCCCCCAAGGAATGGGGAATCCCGAAAACTAGACCCAAAAAGTCGATATATGAAGCCAGGGAGGGCCAAGTTTGTCTCCTCTTTTGATGGTTTTGATGACGTCACGTGTGATTAGTATTCAAATTCTCTGCATTTGAAGATCTTAGTTGTTTGAATTTTCTGGTGATGAAGAACGATGTTTGGTCGACATTCCCAAGCTTCACAACTGCGGACATACTCTAAGGAACCTGAAGGACCCCCTGAGGTGCCCCTGGTAGAAGCGCAGCCTGGTCAGGGCCAGGAGATTGGAGCGGACGACTTCACTGGTCCGAGTACGTGGATCCCGAAATTCTCTATACGCCGTGAGGCATATGGTGAGAACAGTTTTGTTTAGACAAGCTGACGCGAAGTCGGGGTGATGTGTAACGCATGTCAAAGGGCTGTCAATGCTAACAGCTGCAGCGCTCTCTCGACAGCAAAGGTAATCGACTGCCCTCTGCATCATCCCACATTTCTGGCAGGAACGCCAATCGTTATTTCCTTGTCGACCAGTGAAGTCGTCCGCTCCAATTTCCTGGCCCTCATCAGGCTGCGCTTCTACCAGGGGCACCTCAGGAGGTCCTTCAGGTTCCTTAGAATATGGTCGCAGTTGTGAAGCTTGGGAATGTTGACCAAACATCGTTCTTCATCACCAGAAAATTCAAACAAGATCTTGAAATGCAGGGAATTTGAATACTAATCACACGTGACGTCATCAAAACCATCAAAAGAAGAGACAAACTTGACCCTCCCTGGCTTCATATATCAACTTTTTGGGTCTAGTTTTCGCGATTCTCCATTCCTTGGGGGCCATATCAGGCCCCCATGAAGAGAACACACCACCGAAAAAATTCCCGGAGTGCCCCTTTAACCTTTTCTGGGTTTATGACAAGTATACTCGTCATGCAGACCCCATCGCGTCTGGGCAATGACGAGTATACTCGCGCTATACTTTTTGTACAGTCCACGTACCGTACGCACTGATAGATCACTGTACAAACAGCCATAACTCTGGAACGGATTATCGCGTCGCGGAGATCTATAGCTCATTGGAACGGTCTTGGAAAGGGCTTTCCACAGGTGTTTTCGGTGTGGCGATAGCTCAACAAATGATCGAGTGGCGATAAATTGAACGCGCGATTTCGATCTGAACATTTTTCTTACTTTCTGTCTGGCGATATTTTTGCGACTTTCAAGTCATTCAAGGGGATTTCCCTATGATGTGTGAAAGGCAGCATGACATATGAGTACATCATTTGAATCGCTTGAATCTCACGAGCTCGATGCAGTTTGAATCGTAGTTCTACGTTGAGTATGAGCCCCAAACCGAAGGAAATAGTTGAGCGTGGTCTTGATGCCACAATGGCGCGGGGTAGGGACACTGTTGGCGAGGCTAGGGGCGTCCTTGAGGTGCAGTATGCTCTGAAAGCACGTGGAAGATGACGAGCAGGAAAGGAGCTTTCCAGTAAGCCATAAGTTGTGAAAATCTGTTGAGAATCAAAAATGTTGTGACAATTTGTTTGTTGCTATCTCCACAATTGTACTGATGCACTGAATTTCAGTGCCCAGACGTAGTAAATGCACTGTGACCCTGAAAGGGTTAAATGGAGTTGAAAGCTAGAGGTTTCGCTCTACGTAAATACGTATGAAAATCTGTATGCCGTACGCGCCGGGGAGTGAGGGCAACTTTCATACGTAAGTTTCTCTACGGATTTCCGTAGGAAAGCTCTTTCCTATGTTGGCTCTTCCGTAGGACTTTTTGAAATATTTTTCGCATTTTCCGGATTTATCCATGGCAACGTTCAAGCCATACACACACCGTTCACCACGTGCAAAATAAAATGGAAAATGCGGTTTCGGTTTGTGGTGCATGCGGTGGGCGCATGCAGCCAACACGTCTCCAAAGCAACAAGGCATGTTTAGCCGTCGTGGAGAAATCAAGTAGAGCGAAACGCAACAGCGCGGATTTTTACGTATGAAAATTACGTGCAGTTCCTACGTTACTTTCATACGTAATTCCGTAGAGCAAAACCTCCCTATTGTAAGTGGAGACAGACATACATGTACACACAGGTATATACCAAAGTGAACATACCTCGCCACCGGCACCAGCTTCGGAACCACCACGACCACGTCCGCGTCCTCGGCGTCCACGGCGAACACGTCCACGGCCACTGCGGGGGGGGGGGGGGACAGCAGCAGGAGAAAGCAATCATGAACACGCTAACACTTACCCACCAAAGAATACGTGAACGAGGGAAAGTGTTCTTACATGGGCCCAGACTCTTAACCCTAGCACCAGTGAAGATCTCTGTTCTGCAGGAAGAGGAGGTATGTCCGCTTGTGACAAATCTTGACCTCAGCGATGAAAGCGAGGCTGAGTAAACAGCCATCATTCCGTGTGAACTGTGTGTGTGTTTGGAATGGTGATGATTGAGCTATCGATGTCCAGCGATCAGCACAACTCTTTTTTTCCGCGCGCATACCACGCAATTGGTGCAATTTCTCAAAAATCGACCCGAGTATGCCGCTCGGCCAGGCGTGCCTTGGCCGATTTTCGCTTTTGTTCTTGTTGTCGAGTGCTGGTCTGGGTCCTACCTAGAACTGCCTTTGTTGTGGCTCCTAAAAATTTCACGACTTCACATACCCAAGGTTTGAAAAATTTCAAAAATGACCATTTTCTTACGTTGATAAATATGGTGGTAAAGACACACCTGGCAATATGGCGGTAAACACACGCCTGCCCACACACGCTCTTTAGGCTGCAAAGTTCTGGCACAGAGCTCTCCTTCCCTACGTGGTGCATTAACCCTTTCACTGCCGCTGTCGACTGCAGTCGACAGCGCATTCATGCACTCCGAGTGCCATTGTCGACTTGCGTCGACGAGTAAACATGCAGTCCCCAGTGCTGTTGTCGACTTCCGTCGACAGGCAGACCTCACCCAGTTCGTGCCTCTATTTTCGAATATTGGAGATGTTTTGCCGTGGTAGACGGCCACTGGGCCCTGGAAGATGTCCATACCCATCGAAATACGCTTCCAGAAGTATGGGTTGCCATTTGAAAAAAATCGAACCAGCGTCGTTGAAAATGCGCATCCGATTTTTAGCCGATCGGCGAAGAAGAAACCGGTTCTCACGCACTTCCACCTCGCTGAGTCGGTGCGAGTATTTTCCTCTTTCCCGTCAACTTTCATTGCACGGAGCATGGAATTTGGTTCAGACTTGATGCCTAGCTATTACCCAAGACTCCAGGCGGCTATCCGTTGCGATAGGCGGTTGGAGTCACGGGTAGAGACAACCAGACGATAAATTCCTCGCGGACGCATTCACTGCAAACTTGACGGAAACAGCGCTGGCGGCGGTCACCGGGTCCAGAACTAAAATTTTCTAAGAACTACCACGTTGCAATGGCGACCAGCACGGTCAAGAGACACTACAGGTATGTCAGCTACAACATAATTATATTCTTTCTACAACGACACCTACCTCTGGCTCAAAACCTGACGATCTACTGCAAGCTGATGCGAAAGTGAATTACACTCGCGAACGCTTGTCAACGGAACAGGGAAGCGCTTCACTCTCCGAAGTTGAAAAGTATTTGGACTGCTGCTAATGGGGAGAACAAACGACCACCATGGCGGCAGAACATTCCGCAGCCGTTCACCGACACGATCCGCTTCACCAAACGACTTACGAACGTTTCGTTCTCCGAGTTTTCTGGTGGCAGCAACAAGAATTTCGTCCGCAACGACAGGACGAAAGTCTCTCGCAACTGAAGTCCTATTGCCACGAAGATAGAGAAGATTCCGCAAGCCATCTCTTCTGCTTCCAGTGTTGTAGCTCAACTGTCCACTGGCATATCTTTCAATCCCAGCGAACGAAAAAAAGGATCTGCTTCTCTCTCCAAAACAACAACTAACTTTACTTCGCGAGTGTCCGGGCCGATCGTGTACATAGTGTATGTAGCGCATGCGGCGCACGGCGCACTTTCGCATGACATGACACGCATTTTTGTACAGCGGCTGGCGCTAGATCGCGCAGCACGTTTGTACTTCGGATTTTGCGATTTTTTTCGACGGCAATGGCTTCCTTTATGAGTTGTCTACCTACGATGTATACTTTGGAAAGCGATATTCCGTACAGAAAGTACCAAAAAATCCAGGAAAAGTAGGCCTTTCGATTTTTCGAGCTGGAGGTAAAAAGTGCCTGGCAGGGAGGGGGTGTACAGCTCAGCTGACAGCCTGGCAGGGAGCGCCTTGTCACCTTGAGTGGTCAGCTGGCAGTGAAAGGGTTAACAAACAGCCCCGCGCTCAAGGGGTTAAGAAGACTGTAGCCCCAACATAGCAATGTGTCAAGTGTGTTGATTTGTGTGGGGCTGATGTATTGAAAAAATAGTTTGTGGTATTTCGTCGATGTAAAGAATCTTTCGCAAGCTCCGTTAACGAAAAGAACCTTCGATAGGGAATTTTAGACCTTCGCTCCACCCCAATGTACACCATTACTAAAACCCAAATTGATATTCCACATTTGCTTTCCTCAAACAACATATCAATTCACAATGGAAGTGAGATTACTCCTAGGATGAAATCCAAGAAGAGGAGCGAGTACAATGAGTAAGACAACAAGGCACTCACCGGCGTGGAGGACGACGCTGTGCACAGCCAATAACAAAAGCATGCAGGAAGAGAAAAGGAACAAGAATAACATACGTGTAAGTAGCTGCACAAAGCAGAGGACAACTTGCAATCAAAACTAGACTCTTACTCTTGACGTCACATCAACAACAGGCAAAGAAAAATTGCACGTGCCGTGCATTGCCTCATTATCTTGAGGTTAGGGTAGTTTCCAAATCCATTACAGAGACAAAACGCTTACAAGATCATTGGAACTTGCTTCGCTACCATACACGTATTAAAGATTGAATTTCCTGCAATATGCATCGGCCGTTGTTGGGACGCCACATAGCAGTGTGTTCAGTATTCATATTCAGTGGAAGCACGACATCGTCAATATAGCTAACCTCGCCTCCTTCCTCGCCGTCTCGTACTTCGGATCCCTCAGCACCTTGCTCGCCATCAACCTCGGCCATATCACCATGTGACATGCCACCACCACGGCGGCCACCACGACCACCGCGCCCTCCACGACGACCGCCGCGACCACCACGGCGAGGAGTACCCTGCTCATCATTTACTTCCTCGCCTCCTTCCTCGCCACCTTCCGGACGAGGCCGGCGACGCCTCTCTCTCCTTCTGCGTGGCTCTTCGCCACCTTCCTCGCCCTGTAGACGCTCATCTCCAAGGTCGCCATTGTCGTCCTGGGCATCGCCTCGGCGGCCACCACCTCTGCCGCGGCCTCTGCCGCGACCACGCCCAACTCCACGGCCACCTCTACCGCGTCCTCTACCACCACGGAAATACTGATAGCGGTTGGCTGAAGCGCACAGGCACAAATCACACAAAAAGATATGAAGAAATTAGCAAAAGCCTTGGGCTAACATCTGGTAGGATCCCGATCAAGATTCATTGGATCCCTCAGAATGAAAGCTGAGATTCAAGCGCTCCTTTCTTCATCTATTACGCATGCGCCGTGGCCATGGGAAATCCCCCAAGCACCTGCAGAGTTGAGTAAAAACTTGTCGATCTCCAGTTATTCTTGTTGCCTCTCAGTCAAACGCTACCCTATCGCAAAGAACTGTACATCTACGGAAAGCTGAGAGCAGGGACCTTTCCAACGGTGCATTGGTTGTTGTAATGGGTTGCTATGTGACAAACAAAAGTTTGTACAGTTGTCTATACAGCATACTTTCCACGGCGCATTTCGCATTTCGGAGTGCATGCATACCATACGGCGCGTGTGTCATGTACATGATGTACTGTAGCGGACATGGAAATCCAGTCGATTGACCGGGGCCGGCGCCCTCATCGTGTACAGAACGCTGCGTGCAGTGCACATGTCCATCCGATGCGACCAGCGCGCTGCAGCGCATAAATACATGTGTGTACCGCTTATCCACGGCTGCATGGCCAGCACCCTGGGGCCGCTAGACGTGCGACCGGATTTCCATGTCCATGACAGTAGCACTGCTACAGCCAGTACAGATAGTCAAGTGCAGGCATCACGGCAAAATAGACAGGTACACATACTCTGCACTCCCAGAAACATGCGCTGAGCCCTTTGGAGCCCCAAATTATCCTGATAATTGTATGCAACTGCAATTGCGACATATTCTTTACCTTTTTTTGGGCATAACTTTGGTGTTTGTTTTTGGATTTCCATAATCTTGGGCTTCCTGGAAAGCTCTCCACAAGCAGAGTAACTAGAGCTCAAATTCAACACCACAGCAGTCACTTATCCAACGCCACGGCGCCTCGAACAGTCCACAGAGCTGGATATACGAGCAAATGTCCTCGAAGCCAGCCATTTCACTCTCATTCATCGCGGAGCGCTCAATTTTTTGCACTGAGTTTTGTTTTATGCTGGCCACTTGCAGGAAGCGTGCCTGGGTGAATCAACATGTCATCCAAGGAGAAATCCCTCACTCAAGGCCAGTCACTGAGAAAAAGTTCGACTTTTGCCGTGACTGAAATGTCGAGCGCAATATCTCTGCAACGCGACATCGCAGCTCTTCGGCGATTGTTGCATTAGAAAGCTGAGCTCTTCGGCTTCTTCCCAGAGATTTTTATTGTGGAAATCCCTCAAGTTTCGAGTGAGTTACGAACGTTTTAGTCCATCGACGGTATACTGTCGATATTTGACTGTGCAGGTTCCAAAGGGGTAAGCGTGCAGTGACAGCCAGCTACTGTAAAAGCAGAAATTTTCGGTGGTGTTTTATTTTCGGTAACTTCCGTGCCGACAATTTTTACCGAAAATAAAACGCACCGAAAATTCCGGTACTACCGGTACTGTATACATTAGTACTAGTACATTTACCTGGAAAACGGGTTTTACCGAAAATTTCCCTCCACCGAACGGCCGGTTTTGGAGAATACCGAAAATATTACACCACCGAAAATTTCTGCTTTTATAGTACCAGGTGACAGGTAGGTGTGAAACAGGATTCTTGGCCTTGGGTTCAGGTTCACCTCTGAACGGCACACGCCGCGTCCTGCGTGCTGACTGTACGCCAAAATTGTGTACTTGTTGAACTGGCTGTCTGTAGTGCATCATGTAGTTCTGTCGTTGGCCACTTGCACAATTTCCTCTCACTGCTTACTATTCGAACTAGGCGGGAGGATAACAATTTCATGGATGCAGCTACGAGGTTTCTGTTGTGAGAGCCCACCTTCACCCTCGCCGTTAGGCGCTGCATTTTCCACCATCAGTTTCAACTAACTTTCAACCATGTCAAACCTACGTCACCATAACGTGTACATGTGTGCCATGTTTGTGCTTGTAGTATGGTGTCATGAGTGGTACAGGCCTGCTCTTGATATAACAACTCTCACTTGTACATAAACCTCGCTGGTACATAAAAAATCCAATCCCACGCCGAAACATCCCATACAAATTTTGTTCTACACAACATAATCCTACATAACATAAACCTCGACATGACACACGCTACGGCGCGGTCCCCGAATCTGATTTTCTGCTGCAATGTCATGACGAGGACTTTTTGGTTACTGAAAATGGTGCTGGTTTAAAGAGGGTGCTGGCTTATAAAGTGCCGGATTAACCCTTTGTGGACGGACTGTACGAGTTTCTATCTAATAAGATCGAAAGTCTGCAGGCGGTAAAATCTTCGTAACTCCATCGTTTCTTGAGCAAATTCCACAATCGAAGGGTCTACGTGGTAGCGGAAACTCCAAGCTGTCCAATGCAACAATCGCCGAAGAGTTACGATGTCCGACGCCAGAGATATTGCACGCCGTATTCTTACCTCGGCAAATTCAAATTTTTGATTGATCATTTCGCCATTTGGGGGGAAAATCCCTTTTCGTGTGCTCTTTGAGCGACTGAGCACATGATAATGACGTAGCCGGCTGAAGTTTGAATCGTCTCAAACAGATTTGAGCGTTCTGCGATGAAGAAGAGTGGAATGGCGTTGATGGGACGAATTTGCTTGCATATCAGGCTTGGAGACGACTTTACTGTGTTACCGCGCCTGATTTGTGGCGGCTGGATAATGGAGATTGGTACCCTAGCGTTGCTCTCGCCAAGAGCTTTGCAATGAGCCCTTGATTGTGAAAATCAAGTGAAGGACACCAAAGTTATGACATGGAAAAGTTGAAAATTGTACTGACATTTTGTAATTCTGGTGCATACTGTGCTAGCAATCCGTCCATAAAGGGTTAAAGAGGGACGATTGTACATGTATTTACGGACGGCCCCTTACGTGCGTATTCGCTTCCTTGCACCGGTGCACCGCCAAGTCCAGTTACATCTGCTGCCTCAAAGCCCTGAGCATATTGAAGCATATAGAATAAGCCACAATATTGAGATCAATCCAATACCAGAGGACAGCATCAGCAGTCAAGGGACAGGATGAGAACAAAAAATGTAACTTGCAACAAAACACATGAAACAGTCAAGATTCAAGAATAAGGTTAGCTGCAGAAATGTTGGGCTGTTGCAACTTACGAAAGTAATTCATAAAGCGAAGACCGCAAACTTACCTTGGCACCTTCAACAACATCAAACTCGACTACTTCGCGATCACCAACACTGCGCAAGTACTTCTTTGGGTTATTCTTCTTGATTGCTGACTGCACAAGCATTAGACCAAAGGAACACAGAATACCAGTCAAACAAACTGGTCGTGTATGCTCGTGTCATCCCCCCGTATTTTACTACTCCCCGGTAACTAATAGAGCATCTTGAAACATGCATTGCAATAATAACAAATGTTGTCCCATGAAAGATTTGGATAATTCCCTTGATTACTAGTACCTCTCTGCATTGCTTGATGGAACCAGTAGAATAATACAGAAAGCTGGCACACAAAGGGAACCAATAGTCCAAGAACTGATTTCTCGTAACCTACTAGTACCGTTACTTTTGTAGTATTACATCAGTCTGCAATAGACAAAAGGACTGTCCATGTACCGATATGACAACGACCCATAGGAACACGGAAGGACAATGGTACAGAGTGAAGGCAAAACTTAGCCTGTAAATGCTTACCCGGTGTACAAATACATCCTCTTGGTTGTCATTTCTGGAGGTAAAAGTGAAAAAGAAATTGCGTTGAAGATGACCTATCGGGTACACATTATGCAGTCAGTATTTTAAAAGTTCTGGTAAGGAAGTAAGGAAAAATGAAATGCTAGATGCTCTTTATCCAAAAAGCATTGCAAACATATAACTGTCACATTTATATAAATATGGACAATTTTTTTAAAATTTCTAAGTGCTGTTACTTATCCAGCATGGCTCCATTCCTAAAGTGGATGCTGGACAATTCTGGCCCCCGTGAATTCCGCAGACTAAGAAATAGAGATACTAGATAGATATAGATAGATAGATAGATAGATAGATAGAGAGAGAGAGAGAGAGAGAGAGAGAGAGAGAGAGAGAGAGAGAGAGAGAGAGAGAGAGAAAGAAAGAAAGAGAGAGAGAGCCGTGTTTCACAGCCATTCACGTATGATCGTGAATTAATGTGAATCTGAGTTTCAACACAGCTTCCTCTCTCTTTACTGCGTATAACTCAAGATAGCCATGCAAACTTGGAATAGCGGCAGGTAGCCGTTTATGAATATTGATAACTAAAACGATTATAATCGCTTTCTTGTAACGATCAACAACTTCATTAGCCGGTATAATCATTTCGCACTTAATGTTTGTGATCTGTCAGACTACGCTAGCCCAAGACAGGTGTAGACAATCACAGCATTTTGAACAGACCCAAGCAAACCAAACAACATTGACTACGAGGTGAATAGCAATTTCTGGATATAAAAATAAAAATAGAGCCCCACCGGCTGTGTGTTTTCCATTTTTCATATCTTTTTGTATTTTATTGTATGGCCTATTCTTTCATCTATCCAAATATGTGACAATCGCTCATGTTGTGATCCAGGAGACTTGATAGGACGCTTTCGACAGGCTAATTTTTTGGCCTAAATTTCAGTGTATGGAATTTTGGACATGAAGATAAAATAGCGTCAATAGGCATCCTATACTGCACCATTTTGTTATTTTTCTATTGGTGGACAGAAGTTGGCCTCTTCACACTTCCAGCCATCAGTTCCAAGACTATACAGCGTCTGAAGTGGAGTGCACAAGGGAAAGCCAACGATTCGTCCCGTTACTTCTTCTTTTACTCAAAATGCTCATGCAACATCGTACCACAAAACTCGTTGAAGCAAAGCACAAGCAAAGGCTATCAGCAAGACACCGACATGGGGAGAAACTACAACAGCCCAGCTGTCAACTACGGCAAGAAAAAACTTCATCACTCGAGTGACTTGACTCTACACGCGACGAAAAATTATTTTACTCGAAATGTCCAGATATGTACAATGTCCAGAAATAGTAATTCACCTCGTACTCGATCAGCTACAGATTATCGCATAGCGTATAAACAAGAGCACATATTCAAAAACAAGAGTGTGCAACTCCCCTCAGGTTGGCCCACGGCAGAACTTTTCTTGACGTCACCTTTTCTGGAAACCAGGAGTCATGCCACATGAGGCATGGACTGCGAGTCTGTGGCCGCGTTAAATCGGCAGGGTTTCACTAAACTTGCACTACGAGCACGGCAAAAAAACTACAAAAGCGGGAAAAAGTTATTTTTCGTTTTGAAAGCGACAAAATCACGAACTCGCGATGAAAGTCGTCTCCCAGCGCATGCTTTGTACAAAAGCCATAGGTTCTGAAAAAAGCGACGTCTACAAAAGAATTCATGTACCAGTCAGACGTGGAGTTGCACTCTTGTTTATGTACTCCTGACATAAACCAATCCATATTAGGGAAAAATTGGTGAAGTAAGCGTAAGGTTAAAACTTCTCGAATCTCTTGCTGCTGGTTGCAGCCGGAACACATCCCAAGTGCACCAAAAGAATAACATAACACATCGAACAGTGACGTTCGGTTGTGTCAAGGTCGGCATAGTTGAACGCACTCTTGGTACTCACTAGTACGCCCTGATAGTTGTACTACAATTCAGTACATAATGCATATTTGGTGTTTGCGAAAGAAATTGTTGAACAGGTCAACAATCATAAAATTACATATGCCCTTATAACAACCAATTGGCTAACCGGTTGATGAAGCCGTAACCACTTTTAACGTTGAACCATTTCACAGTTCCTACGACTTTTCCAGCTGTGGGGTCGGACAGAATGAGGAAAAATAATGACAAAAGGTTGATCAATTGAAGTGAACTATTCGTAGAGCAAGGTTGGGGTAACAATATTGCACTATTAGTATCCTAAGAATGAAATCCAGGGCTCATGATTACACGGAATGACAGAAACGAAGTGGATATCATGGCCGACAGATTGCAGAAGGGGGCATGACGTCCGTACAAATGCAGCTGACGAAATAACATACATTGACAAAATAGAATTATACATTCTTTCGAAAGTGAAGATACTCATGTGGGCGAATTCAACATAGCACTAGAAACTTACGGGTAGGTTCGGCTTGCTGAAGTTGTCCTTCGGCTTCTCTGCTGTCTTCGCCGTCAGCCATTGTAGATCTGATGGGCAATCTATGTGTTTCCCTGTCCGGGGTTCTTTACGTGCTTACACACTCCTCTGTTGTTGTTCTACCAAAGAAAGAAGGCAAAAATGGCGGCATAAAGGGCGCGAGGTTCGCAGCGCGCAGCCGGGGTTCACTGACTGTATGTGTAGCGCCTTTCTCTACACTTCTGCCAAAATGCACCTCGCCGACGACGACGTAGACTACGTGTCGGTCCAGGAAATGCAGGGTGACAAATCACCGACCTCCGGCCGGCGCGGCCACATTGGTCGTCGTCGGCTCGTCGCAGCAGTCTGTGCTCGCGCGCGCCTGCAACACTAATAGTAATGACGTCATGTTAAGTTACACGTTTTTTGCCCTTTTTCAAAACGCGGTGCAAATCTCACGTTACGTGTAATTTTTAGAGGTGTTCACAACTGGCGCGTGTACGCGTGAAATCACGCGTTTGTGCGTATTTTTGCTGGCTTTTGGGGCGCCATGCGTACGGAAACGCGCCGAAATGGAACTGTGTTCACAACTGGCGCGTGGACGCGGTACGCTTGCGGTTCATGCGCCCCCAAACGCGCGCTCAGCCTTTCACAAAAAACAGCAATCCGAGTCATCTTTAGCGCGTGCGACACCTTCGAGTACTAATTTTTTGACCCCGCCAGTCAAAGTGACTGGCATGTACGCTGATACGCGCCTGATACGCGCTGAAAATTCCAACATGTTGGAAGTTCCATTTCGGCGCGTTTCCGTACGCATGGCGCCCGAAAAGCCAGCAAAAATACGCACAAACGCGTGGTTTCACGCGTACACGCGCCAGTTGTGAACACAGCTAACTTCCAACATGTTGGAATTTTCAGCGCGTATCAGGCGCGTATCAGCGTACTTGCCAGTCACTTTGACTGGCGGGGTCAAAAAATTAGTACTCGAAGGTGTCGCACGCGCCAAATACGACTCGGATTGCTGATTTTTGTGAAAGGCTGAGCGCGCGTTTGGGGGCGCATGAACCGCAAGCGTACCGCGTCCACGCGCCAGTTGTGAACACAGCTTAAGTTACACGTGCGACCTGACGTGAAATTTTGCCTGGCAGGATTCGGGTTTAGTTCGCACAAATATCAAATCTTCCAACAAACTTGATTTATCTCGATAAAATTCCGGAAACTCACACAAATTCGGTCTGGATAACCAAGCGAAACTTCCAAAAACTCACGTCATGAACTTACGTGCGGGACAGTCAACTCACGTAAAACACGTCAAATTGAACAAAATGGTGAGTGTTGAGAGTGTGCAATGAAAAAGTTTGTCCGGAAGATAACCACCCCCAGTAACGCTGGCCGTGAAAAGGGTGGCTCTTCACGTAGTTCATGCAGTAGTGATGTCTCCGTGGAACCATCTCCCCCTGCCCCAGGCGCTCATAAGCGTAGAGCTGAGAGCCCAACGGAGAGTCTCGCCCCAAGCGAAATTGACAACCCGTCCCAAAGCCGACGAGCTGGAGCTGAGAAGACAGCTCGCAAACCGCAATCCAGCCTGACACCAGATCGTCAAGCCCAGTGCGCCGGAGTGTCAGAAGGTCCTGGCGATAGTGATGCTGTAAGGCAGATCAAGGGCCTCTTCGAGACGTTTCAAGGGCAATTTCGATCGGAATTCAAGAACATCATCGAAGAGACCCTGGGACCACGACTGGACAGCCTTGAAAAGAGGCTTGACGAGCAGCGCCAAGACATCAACCGCTTGTCAGCGGAGAACCGTAGGCTGAAGGCAGCAGTAGAGAAATGTAATGACGATGTTGGCAAGGCGGACAATGGTGCCAAGTCCGCCATTGTCGAGATGAAGAAAACATTTGCCGACATCACTGCCAGCCATCCTGCCGCCAGTCCAAATTCTGCTGCAGGCTCCAAATACGGACTGTCTGAGGAGACACTGCGTGACCTTGTTGCGGAGGCCAGTGAGCAGCAGAACAGAGTAAACAATGTCATCCTTCGCGGCGTACAGGAGCTCCCATCGGAGAACCTGTCTGCCATAATCGGCACCCTCGCCCCACAACTCGCTCCAGAGGACATCAAATCTGCAGCCCGGCTTGGCCCCAGCCATTCATCACGGCCACGGGATGAAACATCTGGCTCACTTGCTGGGGCAAAACCAGCGCCTCGTCTCGTGCGAGTGGTGTTGTCCCCACAGGGGAAGAATTTACTTCTACGCAACAAAACGTCAGCACAATATAAAGGAGACAACGTCTACATCCAACACGACCTAACCCGACAAGAACAACGACGACGGAAGGACTTAGTCCCGAAGTTTCGAGCTCTTCGCGACAAAGGTGTACGATGTCACCTCCCCCGTGACAAGATTATCAATAATGGTGCACCGCTGTCATCAGACGACATCACCCGTCTCCTCAACACAGTCACCCAATAGGATACTGCCAGGGCATCCCCTCAAACGTCAGCACGAAAGCTAAGTATCGCTCACCTCAATGTATGTAGCCTGTATAATATATTACATGAAATTGAAGCACTCATGCATGCTCACGATTTAGACATATTAACGTTAACGGAAACTTGGCTATCCGACAGTGTACCTGACATATGTATTACAGTACCTGGATACACCATGCATAGACTTGATCGGAACTCAAAGAGAGGAGGTGGTGTCAGTATATACGTAAGAGAAGGCTTTGATAATCGAGCACTACATCACTCCTCTCCCATTGAAGCCCTCGCAGTACACGTGAACATTCACCCCCAGCCTCTCACTATCCTCTGTGCATATAGAGCTCCAACAGTACCTGTGGCATTTTGGCAAAGCCTATCTAGCCTAACTGATGACATACTGGACTGTACACCGGCCTCCTCCGCGTGCATAATTCTAGGCGATTTCAATGTCAATGTCCAAGACCCTAGTCACGCACACTACCCTCACCTACGAACATTCTGCTCTGATTTTGATCTCCGAAACGTTGTCACGTCACCAACTAGATTCCCCAGTGCAACAACCATAGACCTAGCACTGATCTCAAGCTCCTCCTCCACCACGTCCACTGCAAGACCAGGCAGGGACGAACTGATTTACAAAGACTGCAATGTTATTCCATGTGATATTTCCGATCACCAACTTGTTCGTGTGACCTACACTATCCATGCTACCACCAGCACGCTCAAGACAAACAGACAGGTACAAGTACGAAAGCCACCGCTGCGCGCGTTGAAGATCAAGCAATTCCAAGAGACAGCTGCTAAGCATATGTATACTCTCCACCAGCAGATCACACGCAGTTCATCACAGATGTCTCTAGATAGTTATACTGAACACTGGCAGGATGCAGTCAGTGATGCCTTGAATGAGTACTGCCCACTAAAGACCGTTAACGCCAAGAAGAGCTATACTCCATCGCCTTGGATAGACGATGAGCTCCGGCAGACTTTATTCAAGCGCAAACGAGCACACCGTGCAATGATAAAACGTCCAGATCGCCCAGACCTGCTGCAACAATTCCGAACTCTACGAAGACAATGCAAACTTTTGACTAGGAAGAAACGGTCTACATACTTCCAGCAACAACTAATCAATCATCGAAACCACCCAAGAGAGCAATGGAGTGTCATGAACAATCTACTGGGTAGAATTAAAATCAACCAGGAACCTGCTGCCGAAGTAGCCGACATCACAAAGACATTTACAGACGTTGTCAACGATACATCACTTTCTGGCAGTACACTACGCACTCCCAATGGCCCTTTATCGGAATACTCACTGACACAGTTCACACCAGTCACTGTTCCACAAGTCCAACTCCATATCCAGAGAATGAACAGTCGTAAAGCCACAGGACCTGATAACATCCCCGCCCAGGCTTACAAGCTCATCAACGATGAGATCGCCCCATCTTTGGCCAAACTATTTACCATGTCTCTTACATCTGGCGATTTTCCATCGACTTACAAACTAGCAAATGTGCGGCCTATCTACAAGCGTGGAGATAAGTCAGTCCCATCCAACTATAGACCAATATCACTCCTGTCCCACATGTCTAAGCTACTGGAACATATTGTACACGACCAACTAATGTACTATATCTATAATGCACCACCACCACTGGTACCCCTACCTGCTGAGCAATTTGCCTACCGCAGAGGCCACTCCTGCGAGGACTTGCTCACTCCCGTGATCAACGACTGGATGCTCTCCTTGGACAAAGGTGATTATGTCGTAGCTGCCTTTCTAGACATGTCTAAGGCATTCGACACAGTTAGTCATGCAGTTCTACTGAGTGAACTTCTGGAGATCGGTGTCGGTGGTACTGCCTTGCAGTGGTTCTGTAGCTACCTTACCCACAGGAAGCAACGTGTAGTCACCAAGACACAACACGGCCTAGAATATAGCAGCAACAGGGGGGTTCCGCAAGGCTCCGTCTTGGGGCCCTCTCTCTTCAATCTATCAGTCAGAAAGCTCCCCTCTGTACCCCGACACTGCAAGGCTCGACAGTACGCGGACGATGTCTCCCTTTACAAAGCTGGCAAGAACGTTGAACAGTTGTGCAAGGAGCTGACGGAAGACATTGTCAAAGTGAAAGAGTTCTTGGCGGCCAGAGGCTTACTGCTGAATCCTTCCAAGACGCAGTTTGTCGTGTTCAGGTCAAAGTGCAAGCCCCTTGACCCCAGCGTCGCTCTACAGCTGGGTGAGGTCACAATCAACCCTAGTGCACACATTCGATACCTTGGCGTTGTACTCGACGAACATCTCTCCTTCGGAGAGCACGTTATCCAACTAGAGCGGAAAGTTGGAAGTAAGTTAGCCATGTTCAGAAAGGTCCGAGATCACATGACGGTAACTGCGAAGCGTGCATTTTACATTTGTTCCATTCAGACAGTACTCGAGTATGGGAGTAACTCATTTGCTCATTGCTTGTCAGTAACTCTTCATGACCGTCTAGTCCGTCTTAGTAATAGAGCTCTACGCATTGTGTTCAGTATGCCTCGCTTTTCTGACGTATCCCTTGTTAATGCACGCCATCACATTCTCCCTTTGTCTGTGCGCTATCAGTTCAAACTCTATATCTTAGTGTTTCGTGTCCTGAATCAGTTAACTACTACTCTCCTTACTGATTGCTTTTGCCTTCGTTCTACTTCTACTC